ACCACCGCCTGCGGTAGGGTAGGCAAACAGACTGGTCACATCAACTTGCCGCATCTGCCGAGCCTCACTGCGACTCTTTGCGCCGCTGTGCTCCTTGGCATTGTGGGCCTGCAGGTCCAGCTTGTTGGCAAAGACGTTGGTGAATTTAGCACTGGCACAGTGGTCCAAGGTGCACAAGTAATGCGCCTCCGCAAAGTGATCGCGTACACCTTCGTAGTCCGCAAAGTAGAGCTGCTTGTTCTGCCGCTCGCATATGTGGCACCAGAAGTGCTTTCTACGCAAATGCTCGTACAGTGTGTCTTGGTCGAAGTAGCGCTGGCAGCAGAAGCCGCACTCGGGATGTCCACGATGACTCGTACCAGACTCTTCATCATCACCATCACCAACACGCCTGTGGCGGGCTAGGCTTGCGCGACTGTAGAAGCGTCTCTCCTCTGGATACAGCATGAGATTGTCCTCGCAGATGTCGCAGCTGAACTGCTCATGCTCGCGGCGCATGTGATCCTTCAGCACAGCGAACGACGGGTCTGGCTGACGCCTATCACCACACACATTACATCTCGCCTCGAACAGCACACTGAAATTACTACGCAGCGAGCGATCTTCAAACCTGATACCCAGATCACGGTTGCCAGGAAGGGAGTTCAGGTCTTTAAAGCTGGAAAAGTCCCGGCCGCTCTTGGTCGCCACAACCTTAAAAATGAAGGAAAACAGCAAAAAAACCGGCGTAACATCAGCCATTGCCTCAACATGACCAAGCAGAAGTATAAGAATGGGTGGATGGATAAGAAAGATGTGTCCCAGTAGGCCAGTACCAAAAACTGTTCTCCTGTTCACGTGGGTCTACTGCGCTAGCTGCATATCTGTTGCTAGAGGAATACGTAGCTGAAACAAACAGATATGATGCATAGGACTAGAGATGCATCCTCGCAGGATTTTGAAATTGGATATGGCCATTATGGGGAAATGATCGGTCCTGTGGCCGACTTGGGGCCGCACCACCCCTCAAGAGCTGGCTCCGGGACTTTTTTAGGTTGCACATCTAATGTCCCTATGCAGAGACGGGTCTAGCTGCTCATAACACCAATAGAAACCAGGCACCTGACCGAGGTGTTGAACATTCCGAATTTCGAAGTTTCGACAGAAACTGGATTGAAAAGTCAAAACTCTGGGAAAGTTGAACTGAAAACTCCACGAAGTCGAAAAATTATCGCCAACTTGTTAGAAGCCGAACGCGCGCCAGCCTCGACCAGTGCCACCAGTGGGCACATGGGTGCTGTGACACAACACGTCCACGCATGTTCCGCATACAAAGTCACGGCTAGCTCCTTTGAAATTGCACAGTGCTACACCCCGTCAGAAAAGAATAGAGTTTCCACTGTTCTGCTGCAGAAGATTCAACTGCATGAATAGTCGACATGCAGTCAATTTTTTCTTCAGACTTTTCCCGTTTGTGTCTTTCCCTCAAACTAGCAAAGCTTTTTTTTTTAAATTATTTTTTATTTCGCTCCTGCTCTTGTAGCAGTTGAGCACTCTTGCGTGGGGTAGTGCCTTTGCTGTTTGCGTTATGCAGAGCTCACTGACTTGTCAGTTTGAGTACTCTGGCAAGGTACATTCGGGCCTGGTTTAAATCTGGCTTTGGAAAATTTATTTTTCATTGCTACCAGGTTCGGCCTCATTTCCTCTGTGCTACGCTGACGAGTCCACAAAGGACGAAACAGTTCTGTCCGCAGATTGAGTTATATTATATGTCTAAATTTAATTTAGGTTACACCCAAAGGCACTGGAGTATGCGGAGTATTGGAAGGGATACTCCAGTCGTCTAATTCTAATTTAGCTACACTTGAAACCAAGAGTACATAAACCAGAGTGTGCAACTCGGGATGGTTCCTGTGGGAGCGTAATTCGTGCACTACGTCATTTCTGTCAGCATGGTGAGCCATAGGTACGGTGAAAAGTTGCGTAACCAGTCGCGGTGGTGCAGGTCACTGAGTTTGTCCTGATTTCGGTTTTTTGATACGGATAGCCTGGTGACTTTACTTGTCGGTGGATGTACGCAGCGTACACAGTCACACAAAACACCGAAATACTGAAACTGGACGTCTAAAATCAAGCAAACTTGGCTGATTTCCGGGCTATGAAACATGAAAATTTGAGCTGTATGCAAGTCGCGGCTTGGCTGACCTCATCAGGGTGACGTAGTGCACGAACTGCGCTGTTTCAGATCAGATATGCAGAGTTGCACACTCTGGTTTATGTACTCTTGTTGAAACCCTAAGGCTAAGACCTCTGATACCAAAATTTGAGCGCACAAAGTCATTGTACTTATTTGTACCTACCGTATTAAAGGCTATAAGTCATAACGGCTTTATACAAGTAAAACATTTCTCTCATGATAAACAGGCAGGTGAAAAACTGAACGTGGAAATCCTACCTGAGGTAGGTCTTCACGACACACGGGACAGAGAGTCGACTTCGCGAGTTTCCTCAAACGTGCACTGCATCGAAGGCAGACAGGATGGTTGCATGAGCCTACGACGAACACCTCCTGACCAGTTCCACAAATTACGCAGTCCTCCATTTCCGAACAGACTCTCTTGAAAACAAGCTACATGTAGTTACAGCGTGACTTTAGTAATAGTGAACACCACTACAGACACTACACTCGCAGGAAGTTATGGCTGTTGACAGAGAGTTTTAGGGAAATCAAGAGAATATGAGCACATCGAGCAAACACTAAGTCTTATTGAGTGTGAGGTCTCTGCAAAGTTTGGCGTATTATATTATCCCACTGGATCATGGAGATTACTAGAAAAAGCAATGACTGAAACGGGCTGCTTAGGCGTGTTGATAGCAGCTCAACAAGCTCAACACTAATGCTAGCCAATGCCAAGGTCACCACCACAGACGCAAAATGTCAAAGAGACTCCCTGACATGATCTTGACTCGGGTTTGTGCATTTCCATTCCAGTTGTTCAGCGCATCATGACCATGATGACTGAACGGTTGAAAAATTGCGTATGACCTCATTGAGTCATTCTAGCCAAGCCAAAAAAGGTGCGTTCGAAATTTCGTTGAAGGCGAAACCCAAAATGCGATGACATCGACACTGCACTAGCACTAGTGCACTGAGTCTGTGCATGCCGAATACTATTACATGCATGCATGTTGTATGTCGATAATTATGTCGACATGTTACCATGGTTACTGACCTACTTCTACCGACGTAGACCTGTCGTCTGTCGACCAGTGCAGTGTCATACCAGCCTCGGGAATCGTAGATCTACATGTATGCTGCCGAATTGTTGGAGCTGTGTTGGTCGGCTGGCACGGCATGGCATGGGTAAGTGTAAAAATCACCATCTGGTGAATACATGTATACAATCATCATGATCATTATTTTTATGTCACTAAACACTTGAAGAAAAGTCTTCATCGATCAGTCCATGCATTTGCAATGGTTAGAAGAAATGTGCCACTGAACAAGAATTTTCACTTTGGGGATTCATAATGATTTCAGTACAGTCAGTAAAATGTGGGCACAAGTTCTCCTTGTCAGTTTTGTGCTAGATTGTGCACGTCTAGACTGTTCAAAATCTGGTTCAGTTGGTGGACTCGATCGCATAACTTGTACCCCCCCCCCCCATGTCAGAATCAGAACATGCGTTGCACACATATTAAACGGCTATGGTGATAAACGTGGCCGAGCACCATTGTGGTGGATAGATACGATTCGACACGACCTGAATGCAGCTGATCTCTCTGTGGACCCAACGTAGGAAGAGCTTTCCTACGGAAATCCGTAGAGAGATTTAGGTATGCAAGTTGCCCTTGCTCCCCGGCACGTACGACATACGGATTTTCATACGTAATTACGTAGAGCGAAACCTCCCTATTATTAGTGATAAACGCGGAGAGCAGGTGCATGGGCATGCATGTTCACCTGAAAGGCACGACCGTGACTTCCACACGACCACAGTACATTGTGCAATACACTGTCCCCGGGGAAAATCGCGATTCCGCGGCCGCATTTTTTCCGCGTTTTTGTTGCACTACACGTACACACAGTGCACTGTTCGGTCAGCAACGTCTCATCGTGGCGGCTTTGTTCTCAAATATGACGAGTGCTTACACCAGAGACTTGTAACTGATTGATTTCACTACATACTCACTGAAAATTGCCTCATATCAACTGCAAACTTGCCGCATATCAATAATATTCACCGCATATTTACTGCAAATTCACCGCAAATTATGCCATATTATGCCGCGTTTTTCCCCCGCGTTTTTGCGATTTTTTTCCGCGATTTTCCCCGGCGACAGAATACAGTGTCACTTGCATACACACATCTACACACATGACCATGTGGACATGGTCGCTCACGTCATGTATGCATACATGTACAGTCATGTTCATGCGATATCGTTTGTAAGGATGCATCGGATATACGGTCTGTAGTGATAAAAACGCTGAAAACAAAAACAAAAAAGGTATGTACGCTATAACCGATACAGACTACATTGTAAAAACTAAAAGGGTGGCATCGCCCTTTCTCGCAGGGGTTGGGATGTTCAGACCATATTCTGAAACTGCAGCCAGTGATTTTTCTGTCCCAGGGGAAAATCGCGGAAAAAATCCCAGAATTTTCGGTGTAATTTGCGGGTAAATATGGCATTATTTGCGGTGAATTTGCGGTATGAGACGTTGCTGACCGAACAGTGCACTGTGTGTACGTGTAGTGCAACAAAAAAGTTCAAAAACGCGGGGAAAATCGCGGAAAACGCGGTCTTTTAAAAATCGCAAAAAAACACACGGAAAAAACGCGGCCGCGGAATCGCGATTTTCCCCGGGGACAGGTTTTTAAGGATTGAGAGAACTTCAAATTCAAAGTAATCAGTCAGGGAAGAGAGCTGCCTGAAAACAGTGAAAAGCCAAAAAATGGCAACCCTACCAGGGCTCAAACCTGGGACATTGCTTGTCATGAGCAATGGACACACGTGGCATATTGCCACTCTTCGGGCAGTTCACTTACTAGTACCTGACTCTGATCACTTTGAATGGGTGCACTGCATGTTGGTGCCTTGCATGTACGGTGCTAGATATAGTGAAAACAACAACTATGCATTGTGTAACCCCTGCAAATCCTCCTCGTTTGCCATTGCTGAGGCGGGGAAAGTCAAAGGATAGGGAATCAGAAATTCGGCCGGGACAGGCTCTCTGACTCGACAAGTGAATTAAATGGCCTATAGTCACACATAAACATGGTTAAAAAGGAACAAATTGTGAAATGGAGGATGGGAGGGTTGGTCACGTCAGCTTAAATTTGACCACAATCCAGTTTTTCATTAATATTCCGAATTTGGGGCCGGCCCATAAAGCCAAACCATGGGCACACGTTTCACACCCCGAGTTGAGCTGCCGCCTCTCACACCCTGAACCCAGCTGCTCACTGCACACTTCCACCATGGTAGTATCTGTGGCGTAGTTCTCCAACGAGTGTTCGGATTTCACTGGGCACCGACCATGCGGCACAGCGCTATGAAGTGTACGAGTATGGGTTTGTGTCTCTACAAGGCCCACACTACATGTATTTCCACGGCTAGCTGCAGTGCTGATCAACATAGCTAGTCTACATTGTAACTGTTATGGGGGTACTGTTCATCTACAGCACCTGGCAAAATGTGGCAATCGATGCTAGCCACGTACACTGCGTGTGTAGCGGCCAGGAAATGTTTGCTCATTGACGCATACGCATTTTTTTTTTCTCTACAGCCGCAAAATCCGTATCTACATGCCATGCACCGCAACACAACTACACACAGCCGAACAGAGTGGTCTGAGTGGTCTATACATTGATTGTAGTGAGAATAGTTCCTGGGTCAGTGTGGAATGCATTCTTGATAATGTGAAGCTGCACAGATGACCTATGGGAGAGGAGTGTGGAATAATTGGAAACTTCTAGTTCCAATACTGATATAAGTTACTCTCAATTGCTAACCACAAATTGCGAATATGTCATTGAAAAATCCAATCCTAATCGAACGTGTAGTCCAGCGGCGTTTAATTTATGTCTGATGAGATATATCTACAGCACTCTGTTTGCAAAATATTGCTCGTATGAGAGAGAGAGAGAGAGAGAGAGAGAGAGAGAGAGAGAGAGAGAGAGAGAGAGAGAGAGAGAGAGAGAGAGAGAGAGAGAGAGAGAGAGAGAGAGAGAGAGAGACAGCTGTGGAGTGCCACCGTTCCACAAAAGTTACTGTGTGTGCTAACTTAGGTCTGTTTATAGGAGCTCATTGTAGCAATAGACTCATACGCGGAAGTGCAATAGTATGACTGGTTGCGCTGGGCTATTGCCAGCATGCCGGGCTTGGCATGATGCATATCTTATAATGTCCATACCTGAAGGACACAGCACGCTCAACTGTGGCATCTCGTGGCATCGCTCCTGCCGCTTGATATACCACTGCATTGGCAGGTCAGCAGTTTGCAGTGCCATGTACCACATACAGCCCACCATGTGACAGAGTGGCAGATACACGCATGCTGCATTGGCCATGATCAGCAGGGCATTGCCAGTACACCATGGCACTTGCCCGATGATACGATCAAGTTGCACGCTACTCCTCTGCCAGCAAGAAGCCTGGCAGCTCATGTATGGTGGTGAACCAGACAAACACTTTGGCGAGCCCTCCAGCTGCAAGATGTGAGTATTGTGCCGGCAACACACCACTAGTGCACTGCAGCCGTGCGTGTGACTATGAGTGATTTCTGGTACAACTGAAACAGTGCATCGCGCACTCTTTGCGGGACATGATCTTTGATGATTTCGGGGTTGAGAGCAATACTTGACAGGGCATCGAATGGTACCCATCGAGGCAACCAGACCGGATCTTGCTCGCCACAGCAGCAGACGCTAGACAAAGTGATCAACAGGCAACATGGATGCATTGGTAAGTATGGGGTCTATGCCAGTACTGTACTAGCGGTAGTGACCATGCCCCATGGTCATGACAAGCGGCTGTTTGTGTGGTTGTAGCAGCACTGTTACCGGCTGCATGGCCTGGTCGCCCATTCGGTACGGAATGCATAGGTTGTCTGGCCGGCATGACGGCAATGAAATGTGTGGTGCACATTGTGCATGCCCTGCTACAGCACCTGCACTCAAGCCCATCATCCACGCCATCTCTGCTCTGAAGTACTATGGCAATGATCCATACAGTCCACTAATGACTCTCAGAATTGTCCAATGCAGAAATCACATGCACTCACCTCATGTCCTCATCCTGCTGGACAAGATGCATGACACGGCCAGGCGGGTACATTGCGGGGTACTTCTCCCGGGAATATCCCCCCGGTCTTGCCTGTGCTGCCGTGCCCGCTTCTGCTGTGCTACCATAGCCGATGGTTGTTGGACTGGACGGCTGCCTGGTCAGAATGGCGGACATTTGCATGTCACGTTGCAGGACAGGTTCCCTCTCATCACCGTCATCTTCGTCCGCTTGATCGGTGCCCAGCAAGGGCGTGGAGGCGGTTGCACGCAGTGACGAGTCAGCGAAGCCAGTGTCGAATGTTTGGCAACACGGCAGGCAGGGTAATCGTGTGCTGCAGCAGGCGGTGCAGAAGATCTCGGCCTGCAAAGGAGAAAACAAGTTGAAGACGCTATGTTTTTGCTGAGGTTAGACCCTAGCCTGGGAGTTGTTCTGTCAAGTACGGGTAACGGGTATGAGTAGGGACTCAGTGATACATGCACTCTGGCATAGTGTGATTTACTCCACCTAACTGCTACGTGCTTGTTAGAGTGTAAGCAAGTTGCCTATGAATGAATTATGTACATAAAGTGAAGCAAGTTGCCTATGAATGAATTATGTACATAAAGTGAAGCTGTATGAGGCGTCCCTCAGAATTTTAACTACATGAAGTAGAAGATTCCTCTGCAACACCTACATGTATGTTGTGCAGTTACGATTATTTAGAGAAACCGCCAAACTACCCCCCCCCCCCCCGTCCCGTGCCTATGGATACTCTGTGGAAAGAAATTTCCTCGACTAATAAATAGTACATAGCAGACGCCCTGAAACCAACATTATAATTAGAAAACTCGCACAACACTATAGGCATTGAGAACACTATAGGCATTGAGAACACTATAGGCATTGAGAACACTATAGGCATTGAGAACACTATAGGCATTGAGAACACTATAGGCATTGAGAACACTATAGGCATTGAGAACACCATAGGCATTGAGAACACCATAGGCATTGAGAACACCATAGGCATTGAGAACACTATAGGCATTGAGAACACTATAGGCATTGAGAACACTATAGGCATTGAGAACACTATAGGCATTGAGAACACTATAGGCATTGAGAACACTATAGGCATTGAGAACACTATAGGCATTGAGAACACTATAGGCATTGAGCACTTTCGCAGAACCTAAGCCTACTGCCTCTGTACACTATAGTTTGGAAAGCTGCGGCTTGCAGCACCCACCTTGGACTGCTTCGTTTGTGCAAGAACGGTGTGGATTTCCCTTGCCAGGACAGCCAGTGCAGGAACTGTTAGTCTGCCAGAGACGGAGCAACGAAAGAAACACACTAGGGCGATCACTCAACCGCTTGACATGATCATCTACTACTGAAATATATGAAAGGTTTGTTCACTCAAAGCAAGGGCATATAGCCGAGCACATCAATTGGAATTTTACGAGATTCCCTGGGCATCTATGAGCATTGTGCACACACTAGTCACTAGACATGCACAGAACTGTTGCTATTTCTTTGCTGGTTTGTGGCTAGCATGTAAAGAATATCTCCTTCCAGAACGACTCGCGGTTCTGTGCATGTTCTGAGCATGCACAGTGTGACTGGATGCGGAAAGGGATTAAGTACAGTTGCAGGTGAGTTGGCTAGCCACCCGCCAATGCCTAATTGTCACCTGATGAATGCCTGTTGAGTGTGTGTGTGTGTGTGTGTGTGTGCGTGTGTGTGTGTGTGTGTGTGTGTGTGTGTGTGTGTGTGTGTGTGTGTGTGTGTGTGTGCTCTACTCGTGGATTCCAAATCCATAGCTGCCGAAGATGGCTCTCTCGGCGTGCCAATTGAACATGGTCCCTGATCTCTCGGCAGACTGCCGACTTTCTGCCGTCGCTCGTCGTTTCCATGTTGTCGGCCCCGCAAGGGGACACGTGACCGTAATGGCAGTGTTTACCAGGACCAGGACCAGGTGTGTGCATGTGCATGTGCATGGATGTGCGTGCGCGCGCGTGTGTGTGTGTGTGCGTGCGCGCGCGCGTGTGTGTGTGTGTGTGTGTGTGTGTGTGTGCATGTGTGTGTGTGTGTGTGTGTGTGTGTGCATGCGTATCACTGTACTAGTACCACAGTAAATGCATCAGAAGTTCAGAACCTTACAATGAATACCTATCAGAACCTTACAATGAATACCTATCAGAACCTTACAATGAATACCTATCAGAACCTTACAATGAATACCTATCAACACAACCAGCATACAGTGATGAGACTGATAATATCCGTTGGAAAGTCCCTCTTAACGTCTACGGTCGCTCCCCTGTATATGTCCGGCCGCATTGCTATGAGTGCAGCATTGGCTAATGCGTACCTTCCAACAATGTCGTAACCCAGTATGACAGAAATGGTGAACTCGGCGGCAAATCTTGTACAGGCCTCACTGTGGGGAGTAAAATCACAGACACATGTGGCAAGCACATCAGGGAATGCAAGCTGTTCGGCTGAAAATTCACGTTTCCCACAAAGACGTGATCAGCACACAGCTAAAACAGTACCGGATTTGCCTGGCTGTGGGTTTGAACGCTCTCCTGCATGTATATCATGGCTGTACAGTCAGACCTCGCATAACCGCACACATCTGTTTTCCAGAAAAATATCCGGTTAGGCGAGGGAACCGGATAACTGAACACACATACTGGATATATAATATGCATGTGGCATGTCAAAAGCAGTGGCATCGTACATACATGTAGACGGGTCCTATGCAGTGCAACTAGCGTGCACAGTATGTAAAACAAGCGAGAAAAATGACAAGTGCATGCAACTGAGTGCTGTCCACATGCACCCAGCAGGTCAAGGACCTCATTTGCCTGTACAACTCCCTGATTCTAGCTTCTGCAAGGCACATGCAACCGGATACGACAAAGCTTTTTGTACACATTTCAACCAGTTTGTACACAAAATCATGCACCGGTATGCGGATCGCGAGGTCCGGTTATGTTGTATGCATAACATATGCTGCACATCGGTAACCAGCGATTTTCTTCCGGATGGCGAGGGATCCGGATAAACGAGGACCGGATAAGCGAGGTCTGACTGTACATCACAACATTGTACTCAGGTGCATGTACTGTATATGTGTAGGCCATGTACACACACACACACACACACACACACACACACACACACACACTCCATACTAACTTCATCAATGCGCCCGGCGGCGAGTAGGCATAGCAGCGCACGTTTGGGTATTCGTTGCGATAGAGAATGGACAGGAGGGCGGCCACGCCAGCTCCCAAGGAGTGCCCCACTATCACCAACTCGTATCCCTGAACATCAAGACAAGGAGAAACACACTGAAGTTATATCTTGATATGTTTGTGTTCCACTTTCTCTCCATGTGAATAGGTAAGCTAGGCCCAGGTACTCGTACTTTGTATGTGATATACCATAGCCCATAGGCTATAATTAATATGGGGCTATATTACCCTGACGTTCCGGTGGTACAGACTGCATATGGTTACTCTCCGGACATGCTGCGGTTACCACCATGTAATGGCAATGTTGCACAGAGCGTCTACAACGAAGGCAGCACTGACTAATAAAACAGAGATGTACGTGGGTATGAACGGGTGTACTCCATACGTCTTTGTGCTGCCCCTGTTTAGCACAGCACCGCCGAGAACAGCACAGAGGAGCATAGCCAGTGGCCGGCAATGGCAATGAAACAGAGATGCATGTGCGTATGCGGCATGGGTGTACTCTATAGCTTCTATTGACACCACGGCGGTGGACTTGCGCCCAGTATGCCAGACATGCACTGCTACCCTGTGTGCCACCAGTTTGTTTTTAGGCTTCTAGGACAAATGCCAAGGCTGTGGCAAACCCTGCGGGACTCACCGAGCCCTGCTGTGGTGCTCTCTGAAAAGCACGTTTGATCGGGTGCCAGCCTGCATCCAGTTCTATTTGCTGCATTTTCTCCTTGATCGTCCGAGCACTCCTCAGCATTCCCTGAAGGCATACAGGTAGCAAGACCAGATCACCGACTTTAGAAAGAAAGAAATTGAAGTGCATTGCAGGGCAGTTTGAGTCGTAGCGGTTAGCCAAAGACTTTTAAAAAATGCTCAAAATAGTAGTTGAAAGTACTTCAATAAATGAAATACATTGGTACCTCTTGCCTACTCTCCGTATACTGAATACATCATCAGTTCCTCACCAGAAAGCCACATGTACATGCATACACCGAGAGCGCACGAGGTAAATCAACTCAAACCAGGAGGCGTCCACCACATTGCAGCACGGTTCTTCTGCATTGGAGTCCATTCCTGCGCACCTGATAACAATAGTTATGTTCTTTGGGGGGGGGGGGGAGCTTTTACCTTGTGTGCCTTGAGACCAGGGTGACCTTCAATTTCCTCCTGCTGTGCTCGAAGATCCGCAAGGGCATCCTGCAATAACGAAAAGCACAGGGACACACATGACGACAGGTCCCTGGTAAGTAGCAAGTGATGCACCAAGACTTGCCACCGGTACCAAGAAGATCAAACAATGCATGGAATCTCCAGCCATAATGTGAGAGCTGTACACCGTAGGGTATGTATACAAATGTTCTCCATGTATCTCCCGGCAAGAAAGCGCACCAGTTGCTCATCCAGGACTACCCCCAGACAAACCCTACCTCAAGCGATAGTGTTCCACGGATGCTGACAACCACAGCTTGGTGAGAATGGTCAAGAGCCACGAAGAACGGTAAGTCTTCAAACTGTACCGGCACACACAGAGTGGAGAAGGAACCCAGCTTCAGCGTATAACATACCGACAAGAGCACGTAACTTTTTTTCTATGCAGTACCCGGCACAGTGGAGTAAGTCTGGTTTGTGCAACTCTGAGTTCAGGCACCATCAACAATCGCAGCTCTCTGATCATCAGATTAAACATCCTGAGTCATTCTGAGTTTCTGCAAATGCAATTGCGGGTACAGGTACGTGGTATAATTATTCTCATCTGCCCATTCTCTACTTTTAACTCTTAGGATGCATTCTCTGCAGATATCATGTTTATTTTAATGCACCAGCAACTGACCAATCTGTCATAAACTCCCCCCTGTACAAAGCAATAGTAAATATGAAACAAGCACAGCACACTCACCTCTCCTTTATAATCTGCATAGATGATGTCATCATATTCAACTCCAGTCCAGCCGATCACGGCAGCTGTGTTACAGTGTGAGCCGATGCAGTCATGCAAGATGACCGGCCTTGGCTGTCCACCGGGCTGGTCTGACTGGCATTCTATACAGCAACTGTGTGTGTGTGTGTGTGTGTGTGTGTACGCGCGCGCGCGTGCGTGTGTATGTGTGTGTGTGTGCGCGTGTGTATGTGCGGATTTTGTCGCATGAAGGAAAAGAGAAAGAAATAGGAGGAAGAAAAAGGAATTCTACGACGTGAAACTGAACTTTGCCGGCATGCAAGTCTCTTCACCATACACAGCATCGAGCATACACACACTGAATTGTACATTGCACAATTTTGCCAGTGGTGTACACCCCATAGCTTCCTTACATATTAGGCCATCATTTTTTATATCTATGTTTCGCGTCAGTTCAACTTCCAGAATCATATGCGAGAGGTGGAAAAAAATAAAAAGTTGCAAAATAATAAAAAAGGCTCATCAGAGGTGTATGCACTGTACATAGCACAATAGCTCGTGCATGGTGTACATTCGAAAGAAAAATCGTACATCGAAGCACAACATCTGGGTTATCAGCAAGAGTAAATATTCACTTTGGACAGAGGAGGCATCCGTTGGTGCCTATGCTTCGCTGGATTATTGTACTCAGACTTCGGCAGCGGTGCAGCAAAGACCTCCGGAACGACGCATCCTCTCAACTTCAGGCGATCAATGCTGTCTGGTGTTAGCTCATAGAATATTGCTCCCAGATGCCGAACAAACGATTTGCCGACGCTGGCCTAGAGGCCATTTCTGAATCTCAGCTTCGCCGTATGCAACCAGTCCACACTGATGACTCGTACAATCGTACACTCACCGTGCATGTAAGATTTTTTATTTTTTTCTGAAAAAAATCAAAACGTATGCGTGCGGACGACGCGAAACATAGCTATAAAAAATGATGGCCTTAATCTAAAGACAAAACCATTTTATTAATCTAAAGATACAGAGCAGCTAGTATTGATGCCTCCGGTGATACACAGCATATATTCAAGATTCACTTATTGAACACGTTGATCATTACTCACCACAAGGAAAACTGTACTCATACGATACTACAAAACATGTCATGTGCATGTAGTTGGATATGCGGCTCACGGTGCTCCATTATTTGCACAAGATTGCAGTGCGCTGTTTCATTGGCCAGTGTACTGATCAAAGGTTCAGTTTAGCAAACACGATGATCATAAAGCCTTGTAAACCTAAGGAGTATACAATCATGCATTGTACGGTACATGGTAAGAGATCAATTCGACTTGGAACTGAATGAGAGTGAGAGCAACACAGCCGCGCAGACACCTACCGGCAGTTTGGAACAAGCATGCAGCAACCATTGATGGGACCTTCAAATGCCATGAACGGCCAGCCATACGAGGCAAGCGCGAAATTCATGAAATGCGTGACTTGCTCAAAGGCCTCTCGGCTGGTCTGCGGTGCAGCGTAACAGATTATACCAGACAACAGAATGATTTCCATCGCATACATGTACACTACACCAAGTACATAATGGTACATATACCCATGTTGACAGTAGTGGCTGGTAGAGACTGGACATGATGACATCATCGTGACATCAGCACCACATAATGCGCACACAGAAGGCAGGTTACTGGTACATGACCCATTTCCTCCTTTCCCCTTTCCTTCGTCTTTCGAAGCGAACATCAGCAGCGCTGCTGGTGCCCTGCTACTGGCATGGGGTTCCGCCCCGGCCTAGACTGAATGCTGAGCATAAACCCGGCATCCTGGGAGGTAAATCACGTACGCTGTGATGGGGAAGGGCCAGAAATCTGGCATACCATATTATGTTACCTTTATTTTACTTCACCATAGGTACATGTATTGCTGCCTTCTTGCTGTGGATCATGAATGATCTCCTAGGCTATGATTAAATATTTCCACCAAGATTGGAATATTTCCACTAAAACCCAGGCACATGTAGGGGGTCCGGTAGACCTAGGTACCCGTGACTTCGAGGTGCGGGTGAGAGAGAGATATGAGTGTCGTGTGATCCGCGTAAGTCACTACCCCGGCATGCTACTACATGTACATGTAGTCACCATGGTCATTGCCTTACCCTGCTTTCCAACGAGACTGAACCAAATTCACTGCTGGGATAGATGACGCTGCCATCTCTACCGGTGCTCCGCCATGCCTTGCACTGCAAGGACAGTAAGGACAGTAAGGACAGTAAGGACAGTAAGAAGGTTAAAAATACAATCTTAAAAAGCATGTCAACTGCATGGACTGCATGGACTGAACCAAAACTTCTTCTCTTGACAACAGTTAATGACACACATTGACCGAGATAATGTGATGTACTTGTTCACGTTGTAGGTGATAGCGGTCCATTGCGGAAAAGCATTACCATTACGGACTGTTGCACTTTAAAATCTAGTTGTTTAGACAACCATCACAGAGAATGGTGCCATGCCTTATATTATCAATAAGGTTATTACTTTATTATGCATCAGCTTACAGGACCATACTGTGCAGCGGGTAGCATCTCGTCGAACATGTCATCATCCTCGCCACGCAGCCTCTGCAACTCCGCAACCAATGTCAGGCCGGCGAAGATGTCGCTCGGCACAATGGTGTCGTTGAAGAAAGTTGCGAGAAGGCGCGTCACCTCCATCAGCGTTGCGCGGAATTCTGGCTGCGGACGGCGGCACTCAGGTACACACGCGCAGCAGCACAGGCCACAAAGTCGTAGCCATGCCCGCTGCCGAGCCCTGGTTGGAGAGCGCTGTCGCCCCACTTCACACAATCATGATACCGATATGTGGCATAAAATAGCAGTAGAAATATGAGGAGAAAGGACAGCAGGGTGTGGACATTAGTAAGCCTGCAAGCGCAACCTGCTGCCTCCCTCCCTCCCCCCCCCCCCCCCCCCCAATACAACTTGCCGTATTCCTTGGCATGTTATCTGTTTGGCATATGCGAATAATGCCGGCAGAAAATTGGCAGAATTCGGTACTTTTTCTGGTAAGTTTCATGCATGTTTGGTATGTGGATAAAGAAATGGAGCAGAATTCGAGGAATTGCCCGCAATAAGGTTTGTATGGTTCTGCCATTTTCACTGCTTTTTGAGCAAAATCTGCCAGCTTTTCGAGCATTATCCGCACACCCCTACCTTTCATGCACATTATCTTCTTTCCTTCATTCTTTTTTTTTTTTTTTTTTCTTCTCTTGCCATGGCTGGCTAACGCCCCCTCCTTTGCATTGGCTTCTGCCATTGGACGGTGAAATAATAATAATAATAATAATAATAATAATAATAATAATTATTCGATCCGTGAAATGGGGGGGGGGAGCAAAATTCGCCCCTAATTCGACGCTGAAGATCAATCAGTGAATGGCAAATCTCCGACCAGGGAGTAGTAATAATTATTGTATTTTACTACACCCTGGCCTGCTTCCAACTAATGACGGACTAAGTCCTGGATGCTGCTTTCTCCAGAAATATCACATTCTCCATCGAACTTTTAAAGTGGGATTTCTCGAGCCATTTTTCCCCTTCGTCATGTTTGATAGTGCAGTAAGGCATCCTTGATCAAACCTACACTATTCCCCACAAAAACTCAAACCGCACTTCAACGTTACTTTCACTCTTCTACTGCTGTATCCACACTTGCAATGCATGAAAGAAACTTTGCCTTAACACAACGAGACCAATTAACAGCGAGAACTACATTATACAAAACATAGCGAGAACAAACTGCTATGTCTGACGTGTGCTTTCCGGCCATAGACTGCGTTGCTACTTCCTTGCTTCTACCAATGGCGTGTTTGTATGATTCTTTGCTTCTAACAAAACATGTGGAGTGCAATACAAATCATCTGCTGAGCCTGCTGAGGCCTGATGTGACACTTCACAACGCGGAGTTCCCTTGACTAGAAATTTCATTGCAAAATGGCCAATCATGAGACAAAAATTAATAGTCCACTAGCATGTGGATTGGTTTCAGATACATTGTACTTGCAGGTCTGAACCAGTGAGTAGTACCTACTACACTGTAGAAGCCCAATTTAAGTTGCACCTCATACTGGACTAGAAATGACTGTACCGTGTGCACAATATCGATTTGGCAAACCTTGCGCGTATTCGAGGTGCCCAATAAAATGCATGCCTCTCAGGCCCGCCGGAACCAGTCCGGTTGGTCAAGTTATTTATTACCGGACCAACTTGTTGGCCACCAACATGTGTTTAGTGCTGCGGAGGGAAATAGGTATCCAACATTTCCATACCCAAAGTATGAAAGACCACAATACTACCGGACTAATCAAAAACTGCTTCCGGTGGTCCTGCCCCTCATCTTGTCTGTGATTGGTTGCCTACACACTTACCGCCATCAGATGGGTCACTACTGAACAGTCGTGATGAACCTAACCAGTTGATGGCACCCACTCCAATGAGTGTCATGATGACGAAGAACGCCCACGCCATGCCCACCACCACACGGACGAGTTTCAGGTGTGTCTCTTCGCACGGCACGTCACTGAAGCCCTCCCACCAGACCCAGACCGTGCCTACAACGAGCCATGCTGCCTCGGGTACAGCCAGTATCACTCGCACAAGCAGCAACGGTAGCACCGTTTGTCGAGCGGCAACGTCGGACACAGAACCGCTACCACTGGCAACCATGATGACGCCATCCAGCAAGGCAACGAAGCCGGTCATGCCGACTGCAACATACATGTAGAGAGGTAGGTCATTGTCGGGTAGCTGGCAAGAGTCACTGCGATTAATGTAGCGGTATAGGGCAACGGAGGCGGTGGCTACCCTGCACAGACACAGACAGAGAGGCCGGGACAAGCATTCAGACCTTTCTTTTAGTATAGTGTAATCCGTTTGGCAGATTTCCGCTGCATTAGGGAGGGCGCTGGATTAACGAATTTCCAAACATGGGTATCAAATGTCTGCGTTGACATTTGCCACCACCTGATTGCGCTCTGTGGCCGAATGTCAACGCAGAAACTTTCAACGGCCGAATGCTGCTGCTGCTTACCCTCTGGTTAGATATCAAAGTGTGCATTTTTTCTATCAGGGGGCGGGGGTTGCTTTGTTTGCTGTGCAAAGTGTTGTTGCTGTTACTCGGAGTCAAGTTTCATGCGTTCACAATCCGGCGTCAGACAGCACTGACTACAATGACCTAAGGATGTGCTTGACATAGGCTGCAGCAATCATGGGTAATATAGCGTGAGTGCCGAGTGAGGCTGAATGCACGCTATAACAGTGCCGGGGACCCACCAGCTTTGTAGGGGCCGGTCTGAACTTCAGCAGCATGACATAGTGATTGTGATGATTGTCAAACAAGCAGCTGTAAGTGATCTGTGCTAGCCTCAACTACTTGTTAGAAGTGAAGTGTCTTCAGCTACATGTATACTGGACATAGTGTAGCCTGTGGTGAAATCGCCGCCAAGTGTTCGCTGTACTGCGGCAGTGGAGTGATGGCTCCAGGCTGGCCAAGTGTTCGCTGTACTGCGGCAGTGGAATGATGGCTCCAGGCTGGCCTGTATAGCTCAAACGCATGCTGGCGTCACAGGCACTAGGCCAGGATGTGGAAAGAAAGCGAAGACTTAGTACTTGAAGTAGAACCGGACAAAATGTCAGGCGCGAAAAGTGCTGTGGATTTAACGTGCATCCCTGGATCAAGCGGAATTCCGTGATATCAGGACAGTTCTGCTGCACCAAGGGCGTCCGGTTAGGGCAGGTTCTACTGCACATGCACATGCACTGCCTCCTGGCCACCACTGCTACTACATCCATATACAGTGTAGATAGATCATGTGCACCTTCTGAAACGGTCAGAAACACAAGTACTAGTACTTCAAGGAGCAACATGTAAAATAATATGGCAAGTGCCAAAGCCAGTAGTACAATGTCATAATACAATTCTCGGTGTGCCTTTGTGGTACAAGATCAAGAATAGTCTTGAGGATAGTTGCAGTACTTGTGTTACTGTTATCATAATACATCACACATGTAGATACTGACGTGACAATCACAGTTATTGCACTGTGCCGTGTACGACTACAATGTAGTCACCAGTCCGGGACTGCATGTCACCTGCTCTTTGTCGCACAGAGTGTCTGGAAAGCCTTTCGTTTGGGACAGTCACCAGGTCTCAAAGCAAGGGAATATGAAAGTGTCAGTAGCCTGCAGTTTCAATGATGGTGACTTGAATGACCAGATGTCATGCCATCAAGGTAACACCACCAAACTGCACTACAAACTACAAAGCCTCTTCAGTTCAAGTCGGCTTTCCATTTCCCTTACCAGTGTACGTGGTAACCTCGGTGTGTGTGTGTGTGTGTGTGTGTGTGTGTGTGTATGTGTGTGTGTGTGTGTGTGTGTGTGTGTGTGTGTGTGTGTGTGTGTGTGTTTGTGTGTGTGTGCATGGTGCACACATGCAAAACCACACCCAGTCCGTCTTGCGCAATTAATTTAATTAAGCTTGCTTCTGTGTGCCCGCACTGGGTCACATCCACTACACGTGGCACTGGCTCTAGTCTAGGTCAAGAGAAGGTTCAAGATCTCACTGTGTCATCTGTGCCCCCTGCTGCACTGGAGAGAGAGAGAAAGAGTGGACCAAAAGTCCATGGCATGGGCATGGTGGCATGAGCATGGTGGACGGGGATCACAACCGATCACACTCTGATTTACAGTGAGTAACCGCCCTGACAGACTGAGACACTCCATGTCCGATGCCCTCACCAGGTCACTCGACAACTTGAAGACTGCCCCACATAACCGTCACATCAAGATGGACACAGGCGCAGCATGACCAGCCAATCACGGACTACAACGGAAATCTCGAGGTTAGCGGTTACACTGTGACTCTTGGAATCGCCCTCCTACCCCATGGCGAAGCCGGGAGAAAAATGATTGTTGCACAATCTACAAGTAAGTGTTTACTGGAATAGACGGACCGTGGGACCTATCCTACGCATAGATCTACTCCATAGCCGCAGATCTAGAAATGAATGAACAAGCCGATTCCAATCCTATTCCCAATCTCAATATCGAAAACCAAATAACTATGTATTGTTACTTGCCGTAGACAGCATACTGTGTGTTCAAGTGGTGTTGGAAAACACGAGAATCTACAGTTTCTCTGACGGAGCTTATTACAGTGAGCTAGCTCTCAGTCGGCTAACAATATTAGTTAGTTACATCGGGTGACAGCACATGGCCAGACCGATGCCGAATATCTTTCCATTGATCCTGAAGTGCGTGCAACGAGAAGAAAATGTAACCAGTACACGCACGAAATGCCGTTTACTACAACTCTTCGCAAACATAGAGTACCGTGATACGAACTAGATCATTATGCGCTCTGGAACATACGAGAGTCTACATTAATCATTATAGTACAATCATACAAGGGATCAGAAACAGAAACACATGAATCACTCATTGAAATTCGTGTGCGGCAAGAAAGGGCAACAGATGTACCGGTTACTCTAGCCACTTACCACACAAGGCGCAGGAAGACCGAAATCGCTCCGGGAAAGACGAAATCGTCCGTGGCCACATGCAGCGAGCGTCCACATACCTTGATAGCTGCACTGCCAGCACGTCCTTTGCTCGAGTAACAATCTGGGTGACCGTAAAGATCATTGCGCTCTGCGTCGGACATGGTCAAAACTGAACGCTGGGTAGTGATTCTGATGCACTGAGGTAGATCGCCTCAATGCCGAGTTGGTAATCGTGGGTCCGGCTCATACTAATCAATAACGTTTAGTTTACTTACTAAACCAGATCCATCAAACGCCATTGCACTAAGAACCATCGTTTGCAGGCGGAAGGCGCCGTTACACTTAGACTCTTAGTAGTTACAGCAATGAGTTCGACCCCAACTGGCCCAAGTCCAAGGGGACACCAGGTAAGTACTTGCGAACCAACGACTGCTAGTAGATCTACTATGTGACAGCCGACTTTCCGGAGCACGCTCAGCTATGTATCCAGATGCAGCAGTACAGCTGAAGCAGGTGCGACGATTATGGGACGGACCATCATGCAAAAGTCCTGAACGCTAACATACACCATGGCATAGGCATAGAGCCCCAGCTCAGCTCGGTCGCCAACGCACGCACCATGAACACCTGGTCAAGAGCCCTCCTCTCCTGACTCCAGCCAGCCCAGGCATACGTTACTCGTTAGACCTACACTTCTTCCACAGACTTTATCAAACAAGAGTACGTGGTTGGTTATGTACTCTTGATACAAGTCATGTACATATGCTGCATACAACCATTCTGACTCGGCGACACGACCTAGCTTGACGTACAGCTAGCTGCATTCCCATCAATTTTCTCACCATCAATGCCTGGCACCACTACAAAAGCTAAACACGAAACTCTTCTCAATCTGGAGAGAAATGCTGCCAATATGGGCACATCTTTCTCACTACACGAGTTTTATGTTGTACCGGACACGGGTATACAATTACAAGAATGAGCGCCACACCTATCAATAATACAGCCATGTAAAGAGATATGGCAGGAGGGGGTTCTACTCAGTTCTTGACCGAAGTACAGTTTGCCTAGAGAGGTGCGCACCGTATCCAGATTGCAAGATTTTAAGCTAGCCTGCCTTCCTTATGTATGCCTGAAATAGGTTGGGTTTCGTCAGGTTTGACATGTTTCTTTCGTCTCAGTATTCTCGCTCGCATAGTACTCCACTTCTATGATAATATTGCCTATGCTGTTGCTCATTAGGATTTTGGCAAATTCTATCCTTCGCTTTCATATAACTGGGCCAGGAACCCGTTTGAACTTGCGAAGTAAAATAAAATCAATCAATCAATCAATCAATCAAGTCGACCTGGGCTGGAACTGACCTTCAACCCGGAAGGCATTTTCAAGTGGTTTTGATTGTTTTGTTTTCGAGTCTTCCAATCCTAACCTAACCCAAACCCTAGCCCTGACCCCAACATTGTGGCCCTAGTCCTAACCCTAACCCTAGCCCTGACCCCTTTGGCTCAGCATAGCAGGCCAGCCTCATCAACAACGGATGCGGGGAACTGCAGCATAGCCACGCAGGAAGACCAAGCACACAACACCTGGTCAGACTCACATCAACATTCCAACTCGAGTAGTAATGGAAATTTAGCTATGACAGCTAATCATCAGGCAACAGCAACAGCAATAACAACAACACCAACACCACCCCCAACACACAACAACAACAACAACACGTGAGAATAAAGATTTGAAACAACAACAACAACAACAACAACAACAACAACAACAACAACAACAACAACAACAACAACAACAACAACAACAACGACAGCAACAACAAAAAAACCAAAACAACAACAACAAAAACAGCACTAAACTGCTCTAGTGGCGGCGTCTGATGACTAGCCGAACAACCATGACACACTGAGTAACAATGACAATTTTGCAAACTTGTGAAAATGTGAATATGTTCTCGTGTCTGCAAAAAGATTGAAACTTTTACGTAAGAATGTGCAACAAACGGGCCAGCATCTGAAGCAAAAACAAGCCTTGAAAAGAAGAAGAAGAAGAAGACGACAACGCAGCATCGACGTTTCATGGACCTTGCCAGGCCAGGGAAGACTACACAGAGGATACTTTGAACATATGGTTTCCTATGGTTCCTAAGGTTTCCTATGGTTCCTAAGGTTTCCTATGGTTTCCAAAACACTAAGTATGTGTAAGTGCATAATGGCTGCAATGGAGTCGGTGAGGACTTCAATAAAAAGAGAATAAACATGACAGAAACACTAGACACATGCAGCAGTGCAGCAGTGCAGCAGTGCACCAAGTCAAGTGAAATACAACGGGGTGCCTGAGGTGCACAGAGTTGAATAGAAAAAAAAGAAAAGAAAAATTATCACATGTTCATGCACCTAGAAATCCAAGATAGCTCAAGGACAGGATAGGACAATGGTACAGCGAGTAGTCATTCTCCTGCAACACCGCCACCACCAGCAACAGTAAAAGAAATAAAAACCGGCAAAGTAAGCCCAGGGAAAGGAAGGCTTGCAAGACACTTGAACAGCAGCAGCAGCAATGGGGCCTACAAATATAAAATTGACTTTCAGGATAAACCAGACAGGCTGTGTGACCAACAACCTGAGATCCCAAGTAGGCCTATCAAGAACGGTAAAATAGTGTTCAGAATCTGTGAATTTGAGTTCTGGCGCCTTGCCCAAAACAATTAATTTGGTTTTGACGAAATAGTGTAAATAGAATTCTTCTGTTCGTAGCCACAAGAAGAACGTGAATAAGGAGGGTGGTGTGGAAAACAACCATACCTAGAGATAGTGTGTGAATAAGGGTGTAGTGTAGAAAGCAGCCACAGTGACAAGTAAAATCCCAGAGCCTCTAACAAGGATGCTAGCTGGGGGGGGGGGGGGGGGGTGGAAGAGCAAATGAGAGAACTCATCGCAAGCGCCACAAACACAACACGCGGCTGCAGCACATTGGCAGCGAGGCAAACTTCAGACGGCCTCCTGGCGCAGGTGCCGGCGCTGATAAAAGCTACCGTCGTACACCTGCTCCAGTGCAGCGTTGACATGGTTGGGCAGGTGATCTTTGATCATCTTGGAGCTAACGCGGACATTCTGGAGGCTGTTGAAGGGAATCCAGCGTAATGATCTGGACGGCTCACCAGAACAACAGCTATGAGCCAATAACAGCACACACACAAAAAAGGAGAAAAAACGTAGGTTAAACTGAACCCCACATATGAATGTCAGAAGGTACATGACTGTACACACACACACATACACACACACACACACACACACACACATACACACACACACACACACACACATACACACACACACACACACACACACACACACACACCACAGATAGGTATCAATATCTACAGTCATGTACATGTACATACAGACGTACCTGTTCTTAGCATCGCTATCCTCCACAACATGCAGCAGACGACCTGGTGGGTACATGGTATAGCGCGTGTAGAAGATTTCACGTCCACGGCGGGGACCCGTGCTTGCAACAGCACGACCACCATCTGCATCACTACTCGGCATTGGTGGTATGGTTGCTGCGACAAGACTCGCGCCAGGCTGACCTAACACAGGCTCAGGGCTTTCATCTTGGTCCCTGTAACTGCTCGATTCGAGACATGCGCTAGGGTAGGATGACGATGCTGCTTCGATGTCCACATCCAAGTGTTGACAACAGCAGAAGCAAGGTAGGAACGTTGAGCAGCATACCACACAGAGTATGTGAGGCTGAGCAAGCAAAGAAAGCAGAAACACCCAGCAATCTTTACGTACGGTACACCATGTCCTTAAACAACACACCAGTCGCACGTTGAACATCAACTTGATCAAGTCTTACATCACTCTGCATACTATCAAGAGTACATAACCAAGAGTGTGCAACTACTATCGTGAGCCGTGACAAGCTCGCTCATGGCTGAATTTTTTTATGATGTAATGTTTTTGGGAAAATTGCGACGAAGACATCCGAACTATGATGAAGTGCGTAGATGTTTTTCACAGTTGTACATGCGTAGTTCCGGGGTCAACGTAAAGTTGTGCCGTTTCGGCTCGTGTGAGTATACCGTAGACGGGTTTGAAGTTTTTTACATCTACGGTGAAAAGGTCAGTTATTTCGTTACTTTAATACTGAAACAAGAACATTTCCCTCCTTGTGTTATCATTGTTGTGTGCCATTAGTGGAGTAGTTTTTCCTGGTATTGTTCCCTTTTTCTAGTTATGGCCAGGTAAGCAAACATGAGGTGTTGGTTCTGAGTTTATTGAAAGTGCTCAAATATCAACAGACCTTTTGAGACGATGCCTAGTCAGTCGCGGACAGTGATTTTCTTCCCTAGAGTGCAGAAGTTTATCAGTTATCCCGGGAGCAGAATTCACGGAGATCGTTTCGCCAACCAGTGTAGCTCTGACATCGAACAGAACCCCGGTGTAAATCAGCAGACTAGTTGCAAAAAATGACAGTGACTTCTCCTTCGAGTGTCTACTGTAAAAGCCATTATTCTAACGGGGCGCATATATAACGATTTCCTAAAATTCACTGGTTTATGTGTACCAAAGGTAACGATTCTCACTCATTCTCAACGCTCAATAGCAACAGCATTGTATCGTTTTCTGTATAGCGATTTCTATTTTAACGACAGATTTCTCCTCGTTAACTCGTTAGAATTAGCACTTCGTTATAAATATGGCTTTTACAGTATCCGGTGGAACAGCGTACAATGGCAACTGCTATAGAAATTTGCAGCTGTTGGACACGCACATCGAGGATATGTTGCCAGAGTCAGGCCTGGAATTCTGCCCAGGGATTAAGGACCAGAAGACTACTCTACTTTCAGAAATTTTCGGTGCTCAATATTTTCGGTATGAGGGCAAAAGGCCAGGTTAGGTGAACAGAAATTTTCGGTGCAGAGAAGCAGTTCCCCATTGTATTATGTGCGTAAGTGTTTGTTCGGTGTATTGAAATTTTAGGTATGAAACAGATGCACCGAAAGTACCGAAAATAAAAGTACACCGAAAATTTGTGAAATTACAGTATTTTCTCCTCTGTGAGATTTGACTCCGGGCAGTTGAGACGCTGGATTTTCCCCTTTCAGCAAGTGGAATCTAAGGGTTGCACGATCATGCACAGAGTTCAGCGTGGCACTATGGGAGAAACGGCCTTGCCTATTGTCGCGTGTAACAGCTGCAAGCTTTTGAGGCGGCAGTTGCTTGTCCTCAAGAGCCGTGCTGAAAGGCGATCTGAAGCGGATAGAAAGGTACGAGTCAGCGCAGATTCAAATATACCAATAAAATTCCTGTCTCCAGCGAGCAATATAAAGCGACTAACCAGCATTCCTGAGCGAACTCGTCAACTCCATGATCGCATCGAAAGCCTAGAAAACCTGATGGTCGAGCTGAGTGAGCAACAATCTAAAGATATGTCCAAAATATGCAAATATGTGGACAAGAACCATCGCGAGGAGCTTGAGTTAGCAATTGCAGAAGCTGACCCAGACACGGATCAGGTCCTCATCAATACTTGGAAGGAGGACATTGCCCGAATATCGTTCTACAGCGATCAAGACAAGAACACCTGTGGCATTAAAGGCAATCGCTGGAGCTTGCTAACTTACAGGATGCCATTGGCTGTGTATTCGAGATCACCTGCTGCTGGGAATGAAGCCCTAAAAAGCTTCAAAGTACTGCAATTGCTGAGTGTGAGGTCGTTAAAGCACTTTACGTCTGGCCACCTAGACAAGCCTGGACGGTCGGAAGACACTGTTGCCTCCCAAATGGAAAGATACGAGCACTTCCAAAAGGAGCGAGTTGCTTCAGGGCACAAGAAGCCTCTCGGTGAGGGTGTGATGATCTTCGATGCGGTCAAAGTCATAGCCCGCGTCATGTGGAACTCGTCCAGTGAGGAAACTTATGGTCTGGCCATGACAGCGGATACGCTAACCAGCCTCCATGACATCTACAACATCTACACTTCAGACTGCACAGCCCGCACGGAGTATGTACTCCAGTTTGTTTGGAGGGATCTGACGCCACCATTTGACGTCATGGGCCAGTACTATTCTTTGCCCAGATCACTAGAAGGAAAGTTCACGTTGTCCTGTGTACTGGATACGATGCGGCTCTTCCATTCGTATGCATTTCACACCAATGCGTTGGTCTGTGACGGTGGGTCCACGACTATATCGTTCATCAAGGGAATGCTTAGCTGCCGCGGTGCCTTTGCTACATCTGTAGTAGATGGCACCAATAGCCACAACATCCCGCACTGCATCGACCACCCGTTGCGGCTTCGCCACGAACAATACTTCGTGATTTGCCCATCTCACATGCTGAAGAACATGATCAATGCGTTGTTTTCGTCGTCAGTCAAGGGCACCAATTCATCCATCGACAGGATGGGTACTCCTTTGGGCTGGTTATGTACTCTTGATAGTGCCTGTTACAACACATCAAGTGCTTTGGGAACAAAGCAGCTTCCTGGCATGATCCACAACACCCAGAACACTTCTGAAGAGGAGCGGTACCACAAATCACAGCTGCAGCCAAACTAGTGAGTCATGTACCAATCAATTTCCGGACAGGTCGCCATTTCGCCCTACTTACGCTCCATCAGCAGAGTTCAGAGGGACTGGACGAAGCGGAAAAGATGTATGCTTGCAGTAAATGTAGACAGCACATGCACACTGAGTTACACTGTACTTGCGTACCACCGTCATGATTAGAGCGTGACTTTTGTCTTTGGCTCATGTCCATAAAAAAATAGAGTGTGGCCTATAGAGCTGCCGCTCATCTATCACATTTCCACAAGGGGGAGACGTGTTGGTTCCAACACCACTCAACACCAATCAGCATCTGTACATGGTATCATGCTGCACGTTGCACATGCTATGCTGGTACTCACTGTACACCTATGGCACACAGTCATGCTGCCTGAACACTTCAAATCTCACCTTGGAGTGCGTCGTCTTCGTAAGGGCATCGATAATATCTACTCGCAAGTCTTCCAGTGCGGGGATACTCAGTCTGAGTTCAAGAAAGAAAAAGCACAAACACACATAGATTGACATTGAGGATTGGGATATTCTCAGATCGCTTCTGGTTGATCAAAATGCAGAATTTTAGACACAGTCTACTACTTGCATGAATGCCTATTAAAGACCTTACACAAGTTGTTATGTAGATAGGTTTCTACAATTGCACATCATGTAAGGTCTTGAATGCTGTACAGTAAGTCAACCCCGTTCAGCACGGTCAAACACACAGTATGGAAATGATTTTTGGCCAATGAACACACCATTTTGCATGTTGCTCTATTTTCCTCCGATCAAAAAGTTGTGGGGTCAGTTTCCCAAGACAACAGTCACAAACAGCTTTCTGCTTTGTCTCATTCTCCTAGCTCTTCTGCTTTGACTCATTCTCCTAGCTCTTCTGCTTTGTCTCATTCTCCTAGCTCTTCTGCTTTGTCTCATTCTCCTAGCTCTTCTGCTTTGTCTCATTCTCCTAGCTCTTCTGCTTTGTCTCATTCTCCTAGCTCTTCTGCTTTGTCTCATTCTCCTAGCTCTTCTGCTTTGTCTCATTCTCCTAGCTCTTCTGCTTTGTCTCATTCTCCTAGCTCTTCTGCTTTGTCTCATTCTCCTAGCTCTTCTGCTTTGTCTCATTCTCCTAGCTCTTCTGCTTTGTCTCATTCTCCTAGCTCTTCTGCTTTGTCTCATTCTCCTAGCTCTTCTGCTTTGTCTCATTCTCCTAGCTCTTCGTTTAGTCTACTAGGTACAGTATTTACAAACAGCTAAAGTCACACACACACACACATACACACGTGCACACACACACACACACACACACACACACACACACACACACATGTGCACAGACACACGTGCACACACACGCGCACACACACACACACACACACGTGCACACACACACACACGTGCACAGACACACGTGCACAGACACCTTTGACCTTGACGCCCATCGCTGGAGGCGATGATAGCAATGCAACGGCAGAAGCCATAGCAACTTGTGCTGGGATTGCACCATTCAACAGCTTGCACGGCTGAAGAATTGACCGTCACTATTCAGCCTGGTCTACACCATACGGCTATTTGAAGTGATTTTTTTCTGGCCAGTGAATCCCTATTTTTGGTCTTTTCATTTTTTTTCCCGCACACACATCACACCACATACTCCGGCATGCACTGGCTGTTGGTAACCACCCAGGAGAATGAAAGAAAAGTCAGGAAGAGTCTGAGAAAGAGAAGAAAGACGTGTGTGACCAAAATCGTCGGGAATCGAACCCGCAACCTATCGATTGGAAATCGCTGCACATACCACTGCACCATATGGGACACACACCATCATCGACACGTGCACACACACATACACACACATACACACATGCAGATTGTACCCACCGAGGCACCACATCGTCACCAAGAATCACCGACACGGTGAACTCGCTCGAGAAGAGCGAACACTCCTTGCTGCAAACACACACAAAATGTAATAATATAACAACACAGGCGGCTAACACACGGACACGAGGCATACGTCACACTGCAACACTAGCAGTTTGCATTCAGCAAGAAAAGAAAAATAGATGCAAGATACAAACTCCACCTGTAATAAGTGCGTGTGCATGTAGTACGCTTTCAGAGAGCTGCACTACTCGTAGTTGCCTTACACAAGACCTCCTGGAAGATTTGGGCAACATATACACCACATTTTTCGCTGATACTTTGATTCCCTGTAGGGAAAAGTAAAGTACAGCGAGAGTGCCCACCAGCTGGGCAGGGCTTCTTTGTGCTTCCAGGTTGTATATTTGGAGGTGGGGCGGATGAGCAAGTCTGTAGGCCATGCGATATGTACATTGTAAACATGGCATGGCGTGCAGTCAATTCACACTCACTTCACCTTTCGAGTGACAATGAGGTCCGCACAAACAGTGAGGTGGTCCTGGGCCATGCGTGACCCTAGTACACCCGGGTTTTTACATCGTAACTTTTCGCAAGAACCTAGACACACCCGGCCATACGATTTTCCGTTCACAGGCTGTAAATCAAGATGGGACGCTCCCGTGAGACGGAGCGCTCCTGTTAACGGTACACGTATGCTAGACAGCATGTACTACGAAGTATGTGTAGTGCAACGACTCATAACAAGTGCCTTGCCGGTCTGTGATAAGTATACATGTACATGGCTGCAGCGGCTGGCTTGTGTGACAGTGTGCACTAAGTGCTGCATGGTAGAGAGGCGCTACACGTACTTGAGAAGGGCGCCGGGAGGTGAGTATGCATAACAGCGAAGAGATGGGTATTCGGCCCGGTACAGCACGGAAAGGACGGATGCCACGCCGGCACCCAGGGAGTGACCGACGAAGACCAGATCGTAGTTCATCCCGCGACGCGACGCCCGCTGAAAGGCAGTTTCGAGCAAGCGCATCTGCTGCATCCGCCTGCGGATCCGCATGGCGCTTTCCAGCATTCCCTGCAAGATGTAGGCATATACACAGCACACAGAATATCTAGTATGACGGAACTTTGTCATCCTTGCCACGTGAAAACGACGGACACACGCACATACCCCCCCCCCCTACATACACATACACTTACTTGTACTAACTTGCTCACTGCCATGACTGGTCACATGAGTGTCACCCGAAGAGGGGTGAGAGATTCAAAAGGAATCTTGGAAAGATGACTCAATTGGCTATTGAACCGCCCAACGCACACACGCACACATACACACGCACACATACACACACACACACACACACACACACACACACACACACACACACACACACACACACACACACACACACACACACACACACTAGACCCTAGACACACATCGCGAGGCACAGGCGATGATAGCGACGTTACAGTAGAAGCCATCACAACTTGTGCCGCGATTACACCATTCAAAAGCACGCAAGGCCGAAGATTTGATTGCCACAATTTAGTATGGTAGTGCTCATCTCCTGTCCATCGCCACCTTTGCCTCCGCAACCCAAGCCAAGTATACAACTCAGGTCAGGTACTCAACCCAGGTAAGGTACCCTAACCAAGTGAAGTATCCAACTCAGGTAAGGTACCCAACCCAAGTATCAAACTCAGGTCAGGTACCCAACCCCGATGGGTTGGTCTACTGGGAGTGGTAATAAATTGCTAGTAATAATCTTCACCCAAACTTGGAATCAAACCCGTAACCTAATCTTTGGAAGGCCAATGTGCACACATGTTGAACAAGGAAATATAAACATCCATTGGTTTGAGGGAAAGAAGCAACCAAAACAATAGTCACATACAAAAAATGATGCTTGTAGCTACATCCAAAGACAGAGCAAGAGCGTGTGAATGTGGGGAGCTTGTACAGACATATCTAATGAAGAAACTCAACAAGTATGGATGTAGCTGGATTGATGGTAGTCTTTGTCAGTAGATAATTAGCCACAGTCAGGTTTGAGAGGCATACAGAGCAGCAGTGCAACAAACACAATTCTGCTGCTGCCAGAGATACCAACAAGAACTTACATCGTGCGCCATAAACTCAGGGTGACCATCCACACCCATTGCCCGGGGTGCGGCACGCATGTCAGCCAGGGCATCCTGTAAGGAAGAAAGCAGCAACACGGGATGGCCATCATGCGCGACCACATTGTTGTTTAACCACCGCTAGTTCAACAGGACTCCAGCACAATGCAGACAGGCCGGCAGCAAGCAAATACACACGCACAAAAGATGGCCTATGTGTGCTGACATTTAGTACTGGCATTTCACAGCTCTATATGGAAGTATATGCTCTGAGACGAATACACACACACCGTACACTGCTGACAACACCATGCCCGTGCTGCATGCATACATGTACATACCTTGAGAGACATTGTGCCACGAATACTGACCACAACAGCATCGTGAGAATGATCAACAGCAACGAAGAAGGGCAGCTGCATCAGCTGCACAAGGTTCACAAGATGAAAAAGGCAAGGTCAGTCATTCTGCTGTGCATAATGTGCTCTGACATTAGGGTTGACATCGAGACAGAAATGTAGCCTGTACCCCATCACACTACCAAGCAGTGCTCGTGTGGCTGAACAATGCATGCATGCTCTGAATCACTGTCTCTATGTTCACCTCCTAACAACACAAACAACAACTTAGTGCGGACTCTTACTCGGAATAATGATTCTAGGTAAAGAATTCCCTTGAGAAGAAAATCAACTGCATTTCAGTACACATATCCACTGGGCACAGAACCGTACCTCAGCATCAAATGTAGCATAGATGATGTCATCATACTGAATGCCTGTCCAGCTAAGTATAGCAGCAGTGTTACAGTGAGAGCCAGGACAATCCTTGTCCACAATGGCCTCGCGTGACTGACACTCCACGCAGCATCTGCCAAATCCACACACACACACACACGCACACACACACACACACACACACACACACACACACACACACACACACACGCACGCACACACACGCACACACACACACACACACACACACACACACACACACACGCGCACACTGCGTTGAATAATGACCAATAGGCAATAGAGACAGTGGGAAATTCTAAACATAGTACAAGTAGTGTATTTGTGCAATCCTGTCATAACTTTGCTAGTCATGAAATTTAGGTTACACCAAAGCTAAACCACCGGTATATACCTTATGCACGTTGTACAGATGTACGAAGTTCTGTACTAAGACCGTATGTTTGTACAGACCCGGTTGGGTGTTCATTGTGTGCTATGCATGCGCATTTGACCAATTTTAGCCTCATAAATTCATAATTAATGGCAAACAATCGCTTTTCCAGCTTCTTCACTTTGGTTAGAACTATTGACTAGCTAGATCTTTGTCAGAAAAAAGTTTTCGTATAAAATGCCTTCAGGGCCCATTTCTTAGTGGAAATAGTAGAAAACACAATAGAGTCCTGCACATTCAACACACAACTCGTGCATCTGTACAACGTGCATAAGGCTTATTAGCTTCCTGCAGTCATAGACTGCCACGACGAGAGAAGGTACTGTGTCTGAATGTGAAGTGGCTGCAATGGTGCATCTGAGTCTGAAGAAAGTGTTTACCGGTATCTTGTTTTGCACTGATAAGTGCTTCTGATCTGACGATGTTGGTGATAGATGACAAGACCAGACAGATTCTTTTTCTGAAAACCTCCGGGTTACAACGTTGAAGAGCTAGTAGAACAAGAAGTTCATTATTTTTATCGAGGCCAGAGCAAGCAGAACATGTTCTATTCGGGCCGACCCAGAACAGGTTGAGTCCCAACCAAACGCATCCTTGGTTAGAAATATAGACAATGCCTGGGGCCTGGCATGGGCGATCACCGGCAAGCACAGTTCATATACCACTTTTGCTCAAAATTGTAAGAGGAGGCACACCTGGACCCAACATGTGGGGACATGCAAACCAACCCTAACTTACAACTGCAGCTGGATTCCCTTCTTTTTTTTAATTATTCAGGGGCTGCGCGAACGCAAACCCCTCTACCAGAAATTGCGCACCCGACTTTCCCACGTTTGGGGAAATCGCAGGCTTCAGCCCCAACTGACTGCAATGGAGGGGCCTCGACCTGAGGGAGCCGCCTGGTTGATCACGGCGTCCCCTGTACAAGGTAAGTATGAAGTTAACAATTGCAGTACAAGGGTATTCATACAGAAACTGCTGTAAGTGGAGATAGTGGCTAAACACGTTTCCATGGGAACAGGTATCGGTGCAGGGATACTAAATCTGAAATCAAATTTAGTACCACACACCTTATGGAACCCAATGAATTCATTGACAATATGGCGCTACATTAGAATCTCAAAAATTGTTCGGGATGACTGAGCGTTGCCATGTCAACACAAGAGCCGGGATACCCACAATACCAAAAAAACAGAGCTAAAACGAAGCCGTTTTACATTGAAAAATTGAACTTATCTGAATCTCACGAAAAACTCGTCCACAAAATCCAATACAATTTACATCATGCAATCAATACACAATTACTACTGTCGCCACTTGTTTCCATGGTAACAGTGATGAAGATGGGCCTGGAAAACTTCAAGATCTTCGAAAAGCTGATGCAATCGCAAATTTGCAGCACGCAGCACCAGTACACGTAATTGATTTCACCAAGGGTCGATAATCTCGATATACTAGGATTGGTTTGCCAATCAATACTTCGTGCCCATAAGTGAATCCGCTGACTCACCACCATGAGTCATGACACCATTTTACAAAACCTCTATGCGCCCCAGAGAATGCAACTCTGATCGGCAAGCTATAGGTGCTGGTACTGATATACATGACATGAATCTTTAGTCTTCACCCCCAATAGCTCCACATAGAGCTACCTACATGTACACTATTAGAATACCCAATAGCTACGCGTACACTTAGACACTTAGATACATGTACAGTGCTGCTCAATGAAATCCAGTCGCGGCATCACTCAAGTTTCCACCTTGCATCATTTCGCAGCCCAGTGTTCGCAGGTCTATGGCTGCGCAACGCCCGGCGTGTACTTGAGTGACGCGACTGGATTTCATTGAGCAACACTGTATATCTTACTGGCAGTATGGCAATAGTCTGCAGCAGCCCGTCAGAAGTCTCTCATATATAAACAATGGCCAGCCGTAAGGACCCATGGCAAACTTCATGAAGTGGACCACCGGTTCATAGGCCTCTCTGTTGGCCTGCCAACAGCAACAACAACAAAGATCTCTTAGTCTTATAGGCCACCATCGGAAACAATAGCAATATAGAATTTGCGAAAAGAATCGGGAGTCCTTGCAACAGAGAAAAAAAAGAGTGGGAAGAACTAAGAGTTGGGTTGCCTGAGAGGGTTTTCTGAAGCCGAGGATGGCACAACACGCCCACTGTATGGAACATAAAAATACAGGCATGTACTAGTAACATTAATCATTCCTCGGAGACTGAAAGGAATAGGCAATGGAGAATGGAGTTTCCATTGTTCTTCTTCATTTGATTTCACCTGTATTTCACCTGATGATAAGGCTTGAAAGCATACTAGTGAAAACTATCAAGATGTTGTTGAAGAGCCTGAAGGGTGTCCTCCTTCTTAGTACTATAGTAATCAAAAACGATTCACCCACTATAGTAATCATTCAGTATAAGTAATTTAGTAATCATTCAGTATACTGTATAGCAGGAAATTTTCGGACGGAAATATTTTCGGACAACGCCGAATTTCGACCTTTCGTACGGATTTTATTTTCGTACAGTGCTGCATGCTAAATGCACATGTTCGCAAGCAGTACCTATGTACAGTGTACATAAAGTCACATGAACAAATTTTAGTACGGAATTAATTTTAGTACAAAAAGGCCGTGTACGAAATCGTACGAAAATATATTCCGTCGGAAAAATTCCTGCTATACAGTAAGTAATTTAGTAATCATTCAGTGTTAGTAATCATTCCAGCTACATTACCACCTGATGACTAATTACAGTGATGCTCAATGAAATCCAACCAAGCCAGTCAATGCCATGCCGGGCGCTGTGCAGCCCCATAGACCTGTGGACACTGGAATGGAGAGCTGGTGCAGAGCCCATACTTGACTCACACGATCGGATTCCATTGAGCGGCACTGTAGTACGCATAGAGTGGAGTCTGTGTGCTCTGAAAAAGGAACTTGTATACATGTACATAGGTAGGCTGAGTCAATCCCAGCACATGGGTGGTGATCATGCGTAGCACATGCACAGCCATCATCCACGGGAGAGAAACAAAACGAAACAAAGCAGCGCAGCGTGGGGCAAGATGAAACTACTGACCTGTTCGCTCAGTGACACGATACCCATGGTGCTGGCTGAAAACGTCTTTGCACCATCATTGCCTATGTGACCCCAGGCAAGGCACTGATAGAACACAGGAGCACACAGCCAACAGAAAAAGACAAACACATGAACATAAGCAAACAAGCATGCACATATAATAGGAGATCAGGCCACCTGCCTGCTGCACTGCTCTATTCTCTACCGAAACTCAACACAAGTTGAAGAAAAATTCCCCGCGAAGTCCAAAACTTGAATAGTATGCACACGTTAGCACCAAGCCTACACCGTGTACCATGTAATGCTGCTGCGTGCATGGTTCTAGGCCGAATCCATGTGCAAATAGGGACAAGATCAGAGAAACCACTCCAGCAAGCACGTACACATTGGCCATTTAAAATGCTATTGCCTTGGCAATGGAACAGCTGGCTAACTGATCACGTACTGGTATAACACAAGCAGGTATTGCACACACAAGACAATGTCAATTTCAAATCCAACACGGTTACACTACAGCACTACTGTACAATGGTTTTACATTCACAAAGCACATACCGGTCCATACTCAGTGACACATTGCTGCTCCTGTCCAATTGGCACTACGCGCGTGTCTCCATTATCATCAACACCCGCTGCACCCGTCGCAGCAGCAGAAGGGGGTACTGAGACAGCACTAGCCAGGCAGGTCTCATTACTTTGCCAGTCTCTGCGTAGCCTCAGCTGCTGCACCTCAGCAACGAGCAGCATGCCCGCCGCTATGTCCGTGGGAACAATGTCCACTTGGGAGCTGAAGAATGATGCAAAGATCTGGGATACTTCCAGCAAGGTCGTGCGGTACTCCGGATCAGATTTCTTACTGCCGCGAAAGCACATGCAACAGCACAGGTCGCAGCGTCTTTCCCACATCTCCTCATGCCTATGCCTAGCTGAACCTGTTAACTGACAGTCTTCGTCGAAGCTATGACCAGCATCTAAGAGGCAAGAACAGATACGCATGTTCGCACACGTACACACACTGACTGCATGTATTAGGATATTCAACCGATACGCGATTAAAGAGCATACCAGTACCCTTGCGAGCATACACACTCTTTTTCCATCAACCACCACACCACAACTGCGCTCTCCAATCGCTCTCTGCACTCTCCAGCCGAATGCTGCTGCTGCTGACCCTGGTTGAATGCATACTACACATTCACGGTAGAAAAGCACAACATGGAGTATGATTACAGAGTAAACTAGGTCTCTGAAGGAGCATGGCAGAGAAGAGAGCAGGCAGTAGCTGTAAATCGTAATCCATGCAGTGAGAGATAGCACACAGAGCACAACATCCACCTACCGCTGACATCCGCGGACGGCACTTTGGACGATCCCAGCCAGTCGATCACGCCCAGGCCCAGGAAGGCGAGGACGGAGAACAGTACCCAGGCGGAGGTGACGGCCACTCGCACCATGGTCAGGTCTCGCTCGGGACACGGCGCCCCGTGCAGGTCCGGCCGCCACGCCCAGATCGTGCCCAGCACCAGCCAGGCGAGCTCGGGAAACGCCATGACAATGCGCGCCACCAGCAGGCCGGGGACGGCGCGCCTCGCCGCCGTGTTGGAGATGGAGCCGCGACTACTGTGGTACGCTATCGCCATATCCAGCAGTCCCACCACGCTGGTAAGCACCAACGCACCATACAGGTAAACGTCGAGGATGTGTCCCGAGTTCGCACAATCATCCTTCTCTTTCTGATAGAAGTTAATAACCACTGCCGTCAGTATCAGCCTGATGAGTTTTAAAACACCAGAAACAACAACGCCATGAGAAACAATAAAATAATCACTTCAAAAAGTAGCAAATAAGTGGCGTGCTCCGCTGTGTGAGGAGTGCTACAATTAAATATAGTATTTAATGCATGTATATGTGTTGTGGGGTGCCTTTCAAGAGTATAGACCTCTATCAAATAATTCAAATTCGGTTTGAGCTTTTTGAGAAATTTCTTCGGGATATTGCTCAGGCAAATTCACCAATTATTCTCATATTGATTTCTAGGCGATTAGATAACAAACGCCGAATTTCAGAAATTTTACGCACAAAATGATAACAGATTTTAAGTGGTGTATAAACATGACATTGTAGATGCTGGCTTAACGTTTCTTTGAAACCAGAGGTTCACACTTTTGAAACGCACTAAAACACTCCATGTTTGTTAGTTGGTTCCCGTAGTCAGGTTGCCGGAAGCAGAAGTCGGGCTTTTGTTCCTCTAGTCGAGGTAGTTCAGTGGTGACTCTTATGTCAAAGTCGAAGGCAGCCACGTAAAGTTAGCCTCTTTCACCACTGGTCAGAAAGAGAACACCAACACCGAACCACCCAACTTGTACTTTACTTGAGAGTGCGAATGTGGCAGAGAAGTCGGTCACAACATACCGGTATGCATGCAGTAGAGTGGCAATAGACATCTCTCTCTCTCTCTCTCTCTCTCTCTCTCTCTCTCTCTCTCTCTCTCTCTCTCTCTCTCCCTCTCTCTCTCTCTCTCTCTCTCTCTCTCTCTCTCTCCCCCTCCCTACTGCTGCATGCCAGCAAGTACCCATGAGCACACATTACTTTATTCCTTCGTATTGTCAGTGCAGAGTACGCAATCAATCGATTTTCGTGTACACTTCTATCTCTCCTATCCCAAAGTCACACACGCTATGCGCATTTCAATTTATCGGGCCAGGCAGCATTTCATTCTCTGTTGTCATGCAAAGGGGGAGAAATGAGAAAGAGAGAACAGTGGAGAAAGTCGCATTCTTTAACGAAAATCAGGCCAAAATTGCTCTCTGCCGCCCATACCCCTCCCCGAAAATTCACCATTCATAAACTGAAATATGACATTATGATTGTCTGTCTCTGAAAGAGGGTTTACAAGACTTGCAGCTTACAATCTCCATACATGGCAACCGTCCAGGGTTTCCCGGGACAGTCCAGGGAACAGGGTGTTTGTCCCGGGGTCCAGGGATGTCCTGTGAAAGTCCCGGGATTGAGATGGAACATTTGAAATCGATGTTTTTCTCATTTTTAAGACGATTTTTCAGTGTTTCCTCAAATTAGATCCGTTGTAAGTACGTAGTAGACACAGGGCGAGTGCTCGTGCCCACAAGTGGAACTCGTTCGAGAGTAGAAATCTACTTGCAGCTTGGCATTGGACTCCAGAGTTCGTCCTCATGTTTCTCCTACATGTACGTGTAGTCGAAAGAGGAAGTTGTCAATTGTGACCTAGACGGTACCGGTTGTCAATTTTTTTACTTGCTCAATGCAATAACATCCTTTTTTCTTGAGCAGCAGTCATGAAAAATACATCTGCTTATGATGATGGATGCGCTACAAAAATTGGTGTCCAGGGAAAACGGTTAAAATCAAAGGAATTCAGCCTCGTTGTCCAGGGAACTCAAGCCTCCAGATTGGCATGTATGAGTCTCACTGGTGCAAGTTTGACCCAGAAGGATCAGTGCGCCAAGTGACCAGAACATCGGCTATGTTACAAGCTTTGCTGTGAATGATGGTCACTTGGCCCTCAGCAAAAGTGCAATCTACTCGATCAAGCCAATCAAGACTGCTTTGCAGAACGAACAGCACACCGCATGCCTGTACCTGTGTGTACTAATTATTCAGCACGAAATGCCTGAAAATGGTACAAATATGTTATCAATTTCGATTCTCCTTACTCGGAACATGTTCAATCACGGGCCAATTTCTCTTAGTAAATCATGCCATTTACACCACTGACATGCCGCCAAAAGCCATTATAAGTGGACATACGTACCAGACAAGTCTCAAGAACACTGAGAACACTCCTGGAAAGAAGAAATCATCTGTCGACACATGCAATCGGCGTCCACACGCCTTGATGGCAGGCATGGTCGTGCTCCAGGCGCCACACTGACCCTGCTACGGCGAGGTCACATCTCTTCTGTTTCTGATGCCTTGCAAGAGGTTATGAAAGGGGAACCATGATGCCGTGACGGAATTTATTACACGGAAGGTACTAAAGTAAAGGCAAGACTGGCCGGCGATGGCCGGATTGCATGGATATCATCGAGGAACAACAGCCTGAACAGGGTTTGAAAAATGAAAATCCTGAATGCGAACAGCAAAACTGTTACTTGCCAAAAGGGGACTTCCCATGGGCCAGTGCTGTATGTGATGCATGCATGCCTCTCATGTTTCATGATTCTACGTCATCACATTTTTTAGGGAGGCGGTGCTAGCTGCTGCGCTGTGCCTGTGGACGTGGCATGTTGCAGTTGCTGCGCTAGCCGCTAAAACCAGGCCTTGTACATGTACATGTATTTGCAAAAACCGGCAACAACCCAAGCCCAAGGTCAGGGTAAAACATCCATTCCTACTATTGACTATTGTCTTTTGTAAATTGTAGTGAGTGACTCAGATCTTGCTTCCAGGCTGTTCCAGCCCTATATTCTAAATCAGTCCCCGGCAATTACGGCCGCCGGCCGGTCAATGATTATGTTATCGCGCCTTCATCGGTTTGAAGCAGATCGTTGATTGATTTGTGGGCCATCCAGCATTATTGATATTTTTTCACACACTGTGACACAGCTACAGCTGAAACTGGTTTGGACCCACCCACAAATGGAAACATGTTAGTTTCACGGAAACGCCTACCGGCATGTATACGGACTACACACGGCATGTACATGTAGGTATACAGGCAATGAGTGCAACAAGTATTTGCCGGGTTATCAAGTCAAAGGGTCCCTCCCGCCTTCCCTCACCAGAATACTGTAGTTTCGAGAAAAACAAACGTGCATGGTTTGAAGGAACAAGGCGAGGCTTGAATGCAGTCGGTACTGTGCCAGCAAATTGCGTCTCAACAGACTGACAATGATCATCACTGTTTGCAACGACCAGCATTACTGCATACGGATGTGCCGGACTACAACAAATTCTACCGCCGCATGTAAAGCACAGTATGTGCAAATACCTCAGACACAAAGTACAATGTGCAGCCATTCAACTATAAGTAGCACACAAGGAAAGAAAGCCGTTGAAGAACCAAGTGCATGGGGAACAGAAAGAACTGATGTGCCGCAAGTTTCAAAGTTTGATAATCCGTTGTCCAGATCGGAATGCAGGAAAAATGCAATACACAGGAGTAACGGGGAGTGTTTCAGATATGATCATGCACTACACGTACTAGTATGCAGACATGACGTGCAGACGCAAAGTCAAATGGCATGCCAACAAAGCGGCAATTGATGACTACCGTATGATGCAGCAGCAGCAACAACCGTGTGGCCAGGTCGAGGACTGAGCTTCCCAGCAAAGTACTCACCCAGCGGCTCACAAGAGTACAGCTCATAAGGGGACCAAACTGTGGGAAATAATTACTTGGGAACAGTTTGCCTGGCAAGCGTGCAACGCCGACTGAACTACAGCGGAAGCTATGTATATTAGATTATAGTCACCATTACTACACAAATTGAAAAATCGGAACAGCAGCAGTACTAGCCAGTAGCAACAGCAGCAGCAGCGGATCAAATAATGTTAGGCAATATACAGGAACGACGATGGCCGCTGGTAGGACCAACCGACACATAGGCATAAGCATACGCACTCGTACAGCTCAATTGCGGCTACTGGCATACAGGTTCGGCAAAATGTGTTGGCACCTCTCAGGGACTAACAGTTCTCCATGCTCGCCGGGATGGAGCAACGGCGGCGGCTACCACAGCAGTCACACACGCACTCGGACGGAAACAACAGAAGAAGATGAGCAATTGATACTATGATACTGTCCTTTTTTTCCCAGTAGCAAGGTGGCACATGATGGCGTCAGTGCAGAAGTCATTGCACCACGTCAAATTAATGTTCAGATCGGATTGCGGGCCCATTGTGACCGGTACACGGAACCACAGCTGACAAGCATAATGTCTCCTTAGAGAATCATGCACCCCTTCTTCTTCTTTGGCTTCTGCTGAGGATGCAATACAGCCCGGATTGCCTCGTCAAACACTTGCTTCAGTCCCTTCTGCGTCAGCGCAGAGCATTCGAGATACTTGACTGCATGGATCTCTTTCTGCATCTGCAGACCATTTGTGAAAGAGATCGGTGCAAGCCGCTTCTCCTTGAGCTTCTCCACGGTATCCTTGTCATCACGCAAATCCAGCTTAGTTCCGACCAGAATGATTGGGGTGTTCGGACAGTGATGCGATACTTCCGGAAACCACTGCAAACACATTTCCACACACGCAAGCAGACACAGCAATTACTACAGTACTCCCAGGACCGTCATCTTCCAGCACAGACAAGATGGACCATGATGTGTAACTTACAGGTGACACTTGATCACCAAATACTCTTTTTCTACACATTGAGTACTGTAGAGCTGGTTGCACTATCGTGGGACACCTAAAATACATGGGTAGTACATTTGTCACCAGGGTATTCTGAATATTCTCTCCCATAGACGTGCATGCCTACTTATTCAGGCTGCAACTAACCTTTGCACGGACGTTCTCAAAAGATGCCGGGCTAATGGTGCTGAAGCAGATGAGGAAAACATCCTGCAGGAGTACACAAAACATGCGGCCATACATCCATTAACAGTTTATTAAAAGTTGTTTTTTAATAGGCCTAGATACGAGTGCATACCAGTACACATGTATGGTCAGTGTCAACTCTAAAGCAGTTCCAGCTGCATGGTGCCATTTCCAATACAGGCATAGTGCCCGGCAGGCAAATCTGTACAAGGCCAACTCGACTGTCACGCACGTAGATTCCTACTATATGTAGCTTGACCTACTCACCGTCTGTGGGTAGGAGAGAGGTCTCAGGCGATCATAATCTTCTTGACCTGAAAATGGTTGGAGCAACACAAGCAACAACATGTTCAGAAAAGAACCATTCGGTTATATGCTTCAAGCTTGTCCCATATTCAAACAATCACAGCTTCAGTTTATGGCAAGCGATTGTACACTTGCGTAAAAGATATACTTCGAAATGCAAACATTTCGCACATTGCCTCTCTAGTCTACTATGTACATGTTATAATAGAATACATAACAAAAGCAGACACGCTCAGATGACATTCGTGCCACAAAGCAATGATACAGCTGAAATGTACCAATGTTATAGCTGCTGTATGTGTACTAGCAAGTTGTGCCAGCGTATCACATGTTCGACTGTGACATGATGCTGAACTCAGCCAAGATACATAGATGGGCATCTGTTAGTACATGCATCAACGTTCAGAGAGTGCTGGATCCACGACACGTGCACGTGCACACACACACACACACACACACACACACACACACTCTCTCTCTCTCTCTCTCTCTCTCTCTCTCTCTCTCTTACCCGCAGTATCCCACAGACCCAGGTTGATCGGCTTGCCATCTACCATCACATTGGCAGAATAGTTATCGAACCTGCAGACACGGAGAAAGAGCAAGATGCGGATTGACCCACAGCCCGAGGTGAACACACATGCTACCCAACTCCCAAACACACCAAACTAACCCTTGCTGCGTCGGTAAAAAATAACAAAGGGATTGCGGTATCTTGTCTACCTAATCTAGGCTTTGTCGCTGGGGTGTTTTGGAATGCTTCAAAAGTCACTACATGCCAGTGCAGTTAAGACCAGCTGCATTCTTTTTTCTTTTTCCTAAAGGCCCGTTAACTTGAAACACACAAATGATGCCAGTATAGGGTTGAATGCCAAAGATAAAGTAACAAAGAGAGACTCGGAGACAGACACACACACATACACACACACACACAGACGGTGTGTGAGAGAGAGAGAGAGAGTGAGAGAGAGAGAGAGAGAGAGAGAGAGAGAGAGAGAGAGAGAGAGAGAGAGAGAGAGAGAGAGAGAGAAAGAGAGCCTGTGTGAGATAAAGAGTGTGAGAGAGAGTGTGTGTGTGTGTGAGAGAGAGAGAGAGAGAGAGAGAGAGAGAGAGAGAGAGAGAGAGAGAGAGAGAGAGAGAGAGAGAGAGAGAGACTGACGTCATCTCGCAACAACAACGCAAACACAGTTTCCAACATGATAACCACCTCCCATGGACACGAGTGCATCATGTCGCGTACCGCAAGCGTGGCCGATATCTCCAATTCCGGTTCAAACATTTCATACTTTTGCTATGGCGTTGCTCACTTTCCTGAGCCACGCATGAATTTCTTGACAAATATTGTCTAACGAGTTACGTACTTCCGTGGGATAAGGTGACAGAACTTGAGATAGGCTAAGTTTGAGAAACGTCTATTTCGTGACTGATGTCACGCAGAGAGCTTCAATTCCAGTATCAGCATGTACAGCCGCTTACTGCTAGGGAAAAGTAGAAATGCAAGCCACTTCTTACTCTTAGAAGCTTCTTCTGCTTGCAGCAGCTCCGGAAAAACCTCTCAAGCCACTCTGACAACATCTCCAATCAGCTCTGATCATGGGCATGCATACTCAAATTTCAGTATTGCTACTTCTGCTAGCCAGTACCAGTGATGAGCCCCCTCATGTGACTTTTCATGGTTAGGAGCGGAAAGTGAGAGGTTCGGCCTAGTTCTTTTCAGCACCTGCCAGCATCTGCGACGCCAACATATATTCGGATGAGATTATCGTACTGAACTAGGCTGAATTTGCTGCGACCCCGAGCGAAAAATCACATCACAAGATCACGTTTAGCTAGTACTCGCTGAAAGGTAAAAACAATGTACATGTACACAGTGCCCAGCGCAGGCTGACGCACAGAGATGTTCGCAACTTTCGCACCTACAAAGCCACAGTAACACAGTGCTGTTGAACATTCGGATGAAAACCGATCGACTGCAATGACCTTTTGTCTCAATCGAATCAATACCCAAATGCTAGATGCCAAACAATTGTGTCCAACTCCTCGCCCAAATACACCGCCCAGTGTCCTTCCTGCATCGCTCCGACCCTCTCTTTCCGGACAAATCCTCTCCGTGCAAGTAGAACGTGCGCCATTCCAGTCTGCAGCAGCTGGCACGAGATGTGCCGTAGTTTACCATCAGCCAGTCAGTTACCTTCCACCGTGGGCAAGGCTACTCTTCGCTGTCCGTCCTTGGGCCCATGATGAGAGTGTACTGCAGAGGACGGACCGCTGTAGCGTAATTTCCCAAAAATACAACACAACCTACATGCATATGCGCATGTAACAATTACTACAACTATATTTACTTGTAGAAGCGGCAGCTTTGCCGTGATTGTTTGCATTCCGAGCTGCAGCAGCAAGCAGACTTTCAGATGATGGCCAAAGCCAGTACTTACACAGTTGGGATGTATTCACCGGGGAAAGCATTAGTGGTGTAGCTGATTAGCAAGCATGTTTTACCCACGGCTCTGTAAGGACAAAGACACGCGCACACACAGAAGACCCGAGAAGAACACTCAACAACAGAGCACGAACATGATGTGCCCCAACATGCTACACTGTACTTTAGCTTCCGCGCTACATACGCATTCCGAAGTTCTTTCCTATGCTCTCCGCAAAAGGGCTAGCAAGGACGTACACCAACAAGGCCATTCAAGCAGAAGAAAACACATATCCATCGACTTACCCGTCTCCTACCACGACACACTTGATGGCCTGCATCTTGGCAAATCACTTGTAACGTACCACGAAACTGCGAGCACGACTAATCCCAACACGCGAAAGCAGCACTGCAGTAGTGGCGACCTCGAGCTGGTGTTAGCGATGAGGCGTCGTCCGTACAGGTCACTGACTTGCTCCACACGACTAGCACTTGCTCAGGTCGATTCTCACCGACTGTGGATTAGCAGCTGGAGCTGACGGAACACTATCGGATCACGGGGCGCAAACCAATCGATAGTCACCACGACCAAATGAGCTCGAAAATCGCAACAAATCACGGTCAGTCCAAGTAGTGAAGGCTCAACGGCGGAAGAACAAAATGGGAGTTACTCTGATGGGATATCGATAGGAAGGCTGCACTGCATGCACAGATTGTGGCTCCGAAATAGATTCACCCCACTGACTCAGTGTAGTGACTGCGCGTACACGTATGCGGCCAGCGGAGTGAAAAATAAAATTTTGCGTTGCTGCTGCAGTACTGACTACTGCCGTACCGGGGATGCAGGGTGCACTTGGCGATTCGATACCGGCTGTCACCACTGATACTGATACCACTGGATACTGTTGAGTACGTCTGAGCTATGCATACGCTTCGCTACAGACAAAATCTGAAGATAAAGCCTAGACTGCGCTAGAGTTGCTTCAACCTAGTTCAAGATCAACCAACCAAGCAGGACGTCTGTATGATCTGATGAGCGGAGTTGGTACGCCTATGTGCTTTTATAGAAATGGCGATGGTGGGAACTAGCCATGCTAACACTAACAGAGAGGAGCGCACTCACTGACTGTGTGACCACTGCCACTGGTGACGGGGATATGCTTGACAGTCCGGGCAGGGCTTGGCGAATGCTCTCTACTCGTCCTAAAACTGTCAATCGTGTCAGGCACGGAATGCCATTGGCATCATTGATGATGTGCAGTTTTGCTGACATGTCATTGTGCCGTGAGATGGCTATTTGCCATACTTCAATGGTCGGTGCCATCATGGACAAAAAGAGAAAGAAAGGTAAAGCCAAGGCGTAAACCATGGTAAACGGTAAGCCAAGCTTGCAAGGCGAGCTAGCTAGCTCTACAGTCATATCGAGCATACACCTACATGACTGTACAAGTGTCCTACTACTACCTGTACTGAGTAGTACTACAATGAATGACTGTACTGCCTCGACTTGCCCAAGTTTGACCTGGGTAACCATCGGTAACCCGCGGGTTGAGGATAAAGAATCAAGGTAGGTGCACGATTTGTGGGTTTTAGCATCATAAACTCGGGATTTCGCTTGTGTCTGAGTGAGTTTACAATCATGACGATTGTGTGTCTCCTGACTAGCGACAGTAGCGTAGTAGCGAGATGAAGAAGCGATGCATCCGCGATTCCGAGTGCGGGGCATGCAGGGCGTGAGTGCGGCGCGGAAAATAGAGGTTGATGTCATTTGAGGCACATCGCTGATCTTGGAGTGGTGACTCAAACAGCTCCGAGTATAAAACAGGCAGTGGTACGCTAAAATGGCTATTTTCTACCGTGCAGTTCGGAGATGATGTTTCTTACGTCGTGTAGAAAGGCGATAAATTATGTAGTCGCTAGGCTGTGCTACAAGAAGAAGTGACGAATGTTTCTGAGGGGATGGAGAGTCAATGGCACTTTTGATCCGAATGTGCAACCGGTTAGGAGATCATGAATCTGAAAATTGTCACCACGTAATGTTCATGTACTGCCAGTAAATCACTACTACTACTACTACTACTACTACTACTAGTACTAGTCTAGTAGTCGACACTATGACTGTGCCGTATGCGCACAAACTACATGATTGTACAACTACATAATTATTCATTACTGATACTATCACACAAGGCAGAACAACAGAGACCAAAAGCTTTCTTGTTACTCCGAGTTAAAAAAACACTCATCAGACGTGTTTTTTAACACGAAACACGGAGTAACTTGAATGCTTTTGGTCTCTGTTGTTCTGCCTTGTGTAGTACGCTCTGCCCTTGTTAGGGTATTGAGCACTATTTGCAGCAAGGCCTTCAGACACTTAATCTTTGTGTAGTATTAGATACTATTAGGCCACCCAGAATTAATTCGTTGTTTCGGGTCACCCGACCGTCTTTTTTCACCCGACCGCAAAATGTTTTTTTTTATAGTGCATGCAAATGTACATGACTAGACTATGTACTGTACTAACATGTACACACGCGCCTAATAATAGCTAGCAAGTAGCATGCAGTCCAGACATCGACCTCAGAAGCAGCCAAATAAAATAACAGGATGAAGCGCTTGGTGACGATGTTGTCTTCCGGCGATCCGCGGTCGTTCCGATCGGACAGCATCAGCTCCGCCACCGCGTTGCTCTTTGACAGACGTTTTCAAGGTGAGAGCTGCTCCCGGTCAGACTCGTTTGCCAGCGAGGTCTGGTCCTGGAGGGGACCTGGGTCTGATGGGACAATGACTGCGCTGGATCGTCTACAGTCATGATTTGATCGGCTGGCTTGATGGACAAAAGCTATTCGATATCCACAACTGTACATGTATGCACATAATACATGTACATGGCAGTAACCAAAATAAAAAATAAAATAAAAAATAAACCCGACTGACCGACCCTGGTACGGTTGAGTGAAGTGACCCGAAACAACGAATTAATTCTAGGTGGCCTTATGTCATATTAAATGACACTGTACTAATACAAGCCGCTACCATGACCACCATTACATAACATACTAAGGTACAATAATGTTATAATATCGCTCAGAGTTTGCTCAATTGTCACGGTCAATCATTCATAGGCGGTTCCCTGTAATAAGAGTTAGACGACACCGTCTGTAGGGTTCCCCTATTAAAATAATAAAATGTACTACTACTACCGGTATGCGTAATTAAATCTACTGACCTATGCCTGGTACGTGGTCCATACTAGGCCAATTGTACGAAAAATAGTCAAGATTGGCGCAAAAATTGCCTGGTGTGAACGGTGTTGTCGTACAGACTGTACTAGTTTTCGGCCAAGTATCGACTGGTCGATATTCGGCCGAAAAGTTGGCTGATTTTTGTGCTTGCACTTGGTGGAGCGGGACTCCAACCAATCACTGACGGATTTTCACCATCAAAATGCATGTGATTCGGAGTTACGGACATTTCGAAGTTACAGGCAGTGCCCAGTCCTGAACCGCCCAGATAAACGAGATATGAGTGTACATGTACCTGAAAAAGCACTAGAACTAAGTATTTGCGAGTCACAGAGTATCATGTCTCTGGTTTGTTGTAAGTTGTAACTAATACTTCGAAGTAGTGGTTCATGCCAGATGCCAGATGGCAATCTTCAGACAACTGTTAGTTACAACAAACCAGATAAGACGCGTGGCACTCTGTGACCGTCGTGTGATACAGCTCCCGCGGGCATCGAGTACTCTATCGAACAAGAGGACTCTGCTCTTTGAACTAAGTACACGCAGGGTTCTAGCCAGGTAAAACATTACTAAAAATAGTAGGGGGGGGGGGGACAGTTACTGGTGACCCATTTTCCCCTTTTCCAAAATTGCCCTGCCACACAAAATGCAACGTATGCGGGCAAAGCCCCCGTACCCCCCATTTCACTCCCGACAATCATGTCTTTATGATCGGTGACTGCATGCATTTTCGTAATGTGGCCTGAAAAAACACCCCCGCCCCCTTTGGTTAGAAACCTGACATGTACATGCATATGTATACTGTCCGCATGCACTTGAAGGGAAATGCTAACGGCTTCAACAAAAAAAGGTGCCACCAGTGACCTCATTCTATGCTACCAAGAGTACATAACCCCAAGAGTGTGCAACTCCAGCTATGGGGTCTGCGACGGCAGAACTTCACATCACGTGATGAACCCGTGCACTCTGTGCATGATAGATACTGGGTTGTACGCAGCCCAGCTTTGGGTACAACTCTCTTGTGGTCACTTTGCACTGTTTGCCAGCATAACCTTTTGAACCATGTCACGTGATGTGATGTTCTGCCGTCGCAGCACAGCATAGAGGTTGTGCAGGCAGTTGCACACTCTTGGCGTTATGTACTCTTGATGCTACTGAAATACCTTATTTTGAAACCCTTCGCCTCAGGGCTGCGGGCCAACACCTAAGCTCTGGTTAGTCCATACTCATTCCAGTGCTAGTAGATCTATACGAACTTTACGAATGACAACCCGCGACCAGGCTTTGCCTTTTTCTTTCTAGAACTTTGAGTTGAAGTTTTTTGGAACACTTGGGAAAAAATATTCGTTGTGTTTATTTTGCCCGTGAAAGCGGCTGTATACCAGGCGGGCATTAGTAAGACAAGTTGTTATTCACGAGGTTGAAAGTAAGCAGTCAACTGGTTACTATACTGGGTTTGAACATGGTGTTATTCAACAGTTGTTGCTATACGTTATAGACCCAATATTTTGTACTGATAGTCTAGTAATACTGTGGGTGCATAGCACAGCAACCTAGTGTAATGTATGTGTTGCATGTGGTTTTCGACTGCATGGGCCGCGACACTATGGCCATTTTATTATCGTAGGCCTTGCATCCCGGTAGTAAAGCAAGACAAGATGGATGCACAGCGCGGTCAACTACTGGTACTTGCAGTCATTAGTCTCAGAGTCCGATCAGTGTGGAATTACCCCTTGCCTGTACTGCTGCACATGCTACTGTCGACTCCTGATAGAACGAACACCGCTATGCAGGAGAATTAATTCTTCATATCTGAAATTCTTTACAACAGCAATGCATTCACACCATGACTGGCATGTGGCACTTGGTTTACATGCGGCTAGCTCTACAATTATGGTTCGTTCAAAACGACTCTGAAACGGTTCGCTACAAAGGGTCAATTTTGTATGGGTTCAAACAGGGATATGAACACTATGATCACGAAATTCGCTACTGGGTGTATGAGAGTTCATTTCCAAACAAGCATTATTCTAGCAAGACACTGATAGTGATAGCATGAGTGTAACTCCTTACACTTGTTGAGAGTATGTGTGTACGCGTAGTGCATGATGGATGTGTATCGGATACCGTCGACATGGCCTTGCAAGCTCTACAGCTGCATGCATGTACCGCCAGTAGTGCCCATAGTGACATGGCCTCTATCATAATAACTATACTTGATGCACAGCCATGATATACAATGTAACTATTACCGGTACTTGCACGAATTCCATTCCCTTTGCACAGCATTATGCATCTATCAGCAGGACAAACCATACTCATGAGTGGCAATGCTCTGCGATGCACCATCCATGCACTCAGCTCAGATACAGTGCAGTTTGGGAAACCGTAGCTGCATTGACTAGCCCCAGTTGATTGTGTGCTGCGTTAGAGCCACGGGCCAGCTCTACTGGATCTAAAGTGGGCGACCATTGAGTCACATTATAGGCTGAACAGGTAACAACACAAGGTAAGTCTGGCAGCCTTCCATGATGCCAATCTATAAAAACACCAACCCCAGTGGCGGGCACATCGCAGTCCTGCAATGACTACTAATGGTACCGGAAACGACAATTTATCACTTTAGCCAGTAAAAAAAAAAAGTGAAAATAGGACAACAGCTAGAGAGATTGACAGGTCATGATAACACAGACAAGGTAATAAAAAAAGAAGAAGAAGAAAGCAGCACTTCTTGCAATCATGGCTAGCGGATAGTAATTAGAACAGCAACAGCACAGAAGATTGCAAGGGTAAGTTTGTGATAGGGGTAGATGAAGTCTTATTGAAAAGCTAGAGTTATAATATAGACACCATGATTGTGCTACGAAATCAGCACAGAGTGTGTGGAGTATAATCTATGTCGGGTGGGTAAAAAAGCCCCTGAGTAAAAGCAGTTGCTTGTAGTGGCTGCTATCCAATTGTGCGTAAATCCAGAACACAGGCATAAGCTGGCAGGAAGGCTAGACACGCATAATTGAAAGAAAAAAAACCGGCTACGTCATGCAATGCAGTTCTTACCAAGAGCACAGACCCACTAACTGGTTCTCACAACGAATAATACGACGCAAGCAGCCAAAACGAAACCAGAACAATGCTTGGTCACTGGCAGCTTTGCAGTGTGCCAGACTGCCCCGCAGAGACTAGGAGTAAAACACTATAGCTGACAGGTAGGCTATGAGAGCATAGGACCGATGATACCTGGCAAACTCATCGACTTGGGACAATTCAGCAAAGAAGTAAATATACCATTGAATGATTCATTCCCATCGCCGACAAAGTGCAGCTGTTGGTCACCGCCGCGTTTCAACACAACACAAAGAAGGAATCCAAACAGACACGTGCTGGCAATCAAACAAACGAACCAACACCAGAACAGGGAGGAAGAGAAAAGGGAGAAGGGACTGTTTTGTTTTCGGAAAGAGAGAAAGAGGGGCGTATGTGCAAAGACAACACCTGCAACACTTTACAGAGCCAACACCACAGCGGCAGAGAACAAGCAATGAAGTGCAAATGTCCGAATAAACCATCTTAGTCCAACTCCTCGACACAGAGGGTTGCAGTGGGAAAGAAGCCGAGGCTTTCTAAAGTGCTGTCTTGCTCAAAGTCGGTGAGCTGTCTTCGCGGAAAGGGGGTCATAAGAGAATGGCGTGACGCAGGGAAACCCAGGTGGGCCATGTACTGAACTAAACCCTGTACGCACACATTAAAAACACAACACACGGGAAGGAGGAATTAATGCGGCGATACACATTGCTTTCTTCCATACTCCGAGGCTCCGCTGCAGTGGAGGAAATTTTGGTTGGGAAGGTGCAGTGGAGAGATGATACACATTGCCACTGCACTATGGGTAGCTTGAAAGTATGAAAAATACAACCTTCTGAACTTCAAGGCCCCAAAAGTAGAGTGAAACTTCAGTACTAAGAAAGCACTCTGGATGGCACATATATGCACGATTGTATATCTCTTATCCGGACCTTGAAGTTACGGCCACCTCGTACCTCGGTCTACCGGGCCTCCTGTGGATGGCTTTTAGTGGAAATATTACAACTCTTTTTGCCAATTTTCGTGGAAATAGTGACATCATACACCAGCTCTTTGGCCCTTCCCCATTGAAACGTATGAGATTTAGAGCTGCGCGCGCGCATGCGCGGACATTGCAAAGGTACGGGCAGTACCCGGTCCGGGACCGCCCGGGTAAGAGAAATATGAGTGTACTATGCATATGCTGTAAAGTACTATATTTGACAGTCACTTGACCTCCTTGGAAAGTTGCACATACATGTACCTGGGCTGCAAAGTACAGATTCTGCATGGCCCTGGCCTTGGCGGCGCGGTGCATTACAGTACACAGTACTGAAGTTCCACTGTACTCCAAACATGCATGAGGGAATAAGTATCCCCTTACGAACATCATTTCTGGGACCTATGCAGACCAGAGGACAGCTTTTTAATACGTCAAAAACAAATAAACAGAGAACATTCATTGGTTTGAGGGGAAAGGTGCAAACGGGAAAAGTCTGAAGAAAAAAATGACTGCCACCACCAGAACTCGAACCAGGGACCTTCGCTTGAGTTGAGGCCAGCGATGCTCTAACCACTGAGCTATGGTATAGCTGTCATCTTAGCAGAGACCGTTCAATATTTTCTTCAGACTTCGAAACTCACGCTTCCCGCAAATCCACACAGGCGGGCGGGACACAGTCCTCACTGCAACCCACACACTCCATGCACAAACCAGCACGCGGGGAGCCCCAAGCCACAAACCATTCATCGGTTTGACGTGAAAGATACAAACGGGACAACAGAGAACACAGCTCTTCTTTTGTAAACGCTTCCCCATGTCCAAAGCAACAACATGCTACATGTACTAGAGTCTTGCGTGCATGGCACCTGGAGATGGTCTGCTTTGTTATCGAATGGGTGAGCTAGAGAAAACGATTACTAGTACTCGGTCTTAACACTCCTACTGCACGGTCTTTCAAGTTTCTACCATCACCAACTACTTTGAGAAGCAATAAAACTAAAGTTGAGAACGTGTGCAATTGGCAGCGTTGGTGTGTGCGAATTACCTCTAGACTGAAACACGCAGCACAAATCTCAGCCAGATCTTACCGCGAGAGTAGATGACGAAGGTGGTTCACAGTAGTGCCGGCTGCCGTCTGGCAATCGCATGAGAAGACGAATAGACTTTTCACCGGGTTGACACACCCAGTCAGGAGGTGGCGGCGGCGGTGGCTGAATATCATCCGGGACGGAGTTTGACATGGTGTCGATGGACTCATCCTGAGCACTTGCCGCCAGTTGGGAATCAGACAGCGTAGCGTCCAGGCTGGGTGCAGTGGTCGCAGCAGTTGCCCGGTTGCCGCCGTGAGCCTCCTGAACGGACGCCGCTGCTAACGCCTTGGTGGCGCTGCTGACGCTGGAATCCAACTGGACCTTCTTTAGCTTCTTGGCTCTGCCAACTGTGCTGGGTATGTTTGATGGCGCTGCACTGCTCGGTGAGCCGGGCGGAGAAGGAGATTGCGCCCTTCGTTTACCGCGTGTTCTAGGTCTACTAGACACAACACTACTGCTGTCCTCTTCATCACTGGAGATACGAAGAGCCCGTGACCGTTTAGAGCGGCTGCTTCGCAGAGAAGCTCTGGTTGTGGCAACGCACTGAGCGCGATGATTGGTATCTTCATCAGCAGACGACTCCATACTGGACGTTGCTGGCGATGAGCGGTCGTTTTCACACTTCTCGCCCGACGACGCAACTATGGAAGCGGCAATGGCAGAAGCCATCTCTGCTGCCTCCTCCACGTCGCCAACACGCTGCAAGAATACACACCCATGCGTGTGCACGCACACACACACACACACACACCCATACACACCCATGCACACGTACACACATGCACGCACACACACACACACAGCACTTTAGCACAACACTGCAGACAGCCGGGCAGGTGTTTGGCTTCTCGCCAAAACAAAACATCCAGAAACTCACATCCAGTACAAATTCTCACCAACAACATGTATCCAGAGACAGTGAAACATGTCACCAAACACCACTCGGTTACCTTTGGACGCCTTGAGCTTGAGCGTTGCTGAGTACTGCATGCTGCGCTGGATTGACCTACTGTTGAGCCACGGGCAACGGTAGTCCGTGCCTCAGGCTCTAGCCCATAGATAGGAAGAGCATGGCGCGAGAGGAAGTCCTCTGCTCGCCTACAAAACTCGGCGTGCTCCATAAAGCCAAAATGCTCCAGTCTTTCTCCTGCCACCGGTGAAGAGAAAACAGATTGCACATACCAGCTAGATCTTAGCACAATGTTACGCAAACCAACAAGATTTAGGATGGCCCAGATGGAACGCAATCCTGCACTTATTACTACAAACTGGGAGGGTGCTATTCCAATAAGAAAGTGATCTCACTCACTTTCCTGGAACCTGGAACATGACAGGTTCTGTATGTGTGCGTGCGTGCGTGTGTATGTGAATGTACATATTATCTGTCGCAAGAGCACACGATGTAAAGGGACAATGCACAAAAAGAGGAACAGCACAAAACAGTAATAATAATTTCTGTTTTGAAGGGTTTGACCAGTTTGTTTCGGATTTTTGCTCCTGCTGAGCTATGAGACAGTGCTGCGCCCGGACCATCGCGGGTGCATTTTTGTACTGGTCCTGGTAGCTTCGTGGTTTCGATCCATGATTTCCAGTACAAGTGTGGGGCATTCGAATCCCATCACGCCTCCTGCCTTTTTTTTCTCTTCTTTTCTGCATGTTTAGGATCTTGTTGGGTGAAATACAGTAGAGATGATAATCAATCTGCGGACAGAACTGTTTCGTCCTTTGTGGACTCGTCAGCGCAGCACAGAGGAAATGAGGCCGAACCTGATAGCAATGGAAATAAAAAATTCCAATCAGGTCCGAACGTACCTTGCCAGAGTGCTCAAACTGACAAGTCAGTGAGCTCTGCATAACGCAAACAGCAAAGGCACTAGGTAGAGATGATAATTATATTTTCTCTTTTTGATTTGATTTGAGCCTCCCTGTTCCCTTCGCCTGACACAACGAGTGACAGTGGTTTCACTCAAGCCAGTTGCAAGGTGAGTTCGACAACGAGGATTTCGGATACTCAAGCGTCAATCAAAATCCAGCTCTTGTTCGAAGAAACAATGAACACGACTAATCATATCTTTCTCGGCATCACTGAGATTCTTACGGGCCTTGGAAGCCATTACAGTCAGGCATTCAGAAAATGCAAACAAGAAGAAGATTCATTTGAGACTTTCATTTCTTTCGAGACTTTCCTCACACCTTTTCATTTGCGACTTTGCGTGTTTTGCATCTTTTGTATTTCCCGCGGCGACGAAGAAAAACCTGAAAACACATCTGAAAACCAGAAAACATTCATGCAAAACTCACGGCTGTCGTGCGCTACAGTACGTACGGCTCGTACGTATGAGTTCACGCGCCTATAGTTTTGAAATGGACTGTAAGAGAGCGCAAGTGGCATGGGCTACACCAGTTAAACCAGCAGTACACAGCATAACACCATGATCATGCAATCATGCATGGGGACTACGGTACAGTCACCGTACTGCAGTGTCAATGCAGTGACAACTAATACTGTACTTCAACTTGTGCACATGCAGTAAAACTTCCCCACATCCGGACTCCCCAGATCTGGGCACCTTTCTGACCCATCTAGGGGTCACAAAAACCGGCACCGAGAAAATAATATTGATTGGCGTAAAAAGTGTTCACTCGCATGCAATCAGTATGACACTGTTTGTTCCGAGTCGTGGGCAATTCCTAGTCATGGGCAGTGATCGGTCCCAAAAGTGCCCGGATAAGGGGAGTTCCACTGAACTTCTTCTGTGCACACCGTTCAGGTTTCAGGTTGGCAATGTACACCACCTCCATGCATAGGCAGGAGCCAAATGAGCAGACAGATTCATCGCACAACATACCTGTCCGCGGGTCCAGAAAAGCAATTTGCGGGCATTCTCCAAAGGTGTAGAACTGCTGGAAGCGGCGACCATCAATGCTATCAGCTTGCACCTAGCCACCGACCAAAGCAGATCAAAGACAAGAAAATAAGCCGTTGCACACAAATAGGGCTTTCTGGAACAGAATCTGCCCATATAAAGAATGACAGCTGCACCATAGCTCAGTGGTTGGAGCATCGCTGGCCTCAAGCGAAGGTCCCTGGTTCGAATCCTGGTGGTGACAGTCAATTTTTCGTCAGACCTTTTTCCTTTTCCATTCCCTCAATTAGTGAATTCAAAGAACAGTCATACTTCGAAGTAGCAATTGTAGGGCCTGAAAGTAATGATGCACCACACGAAGTAGAAATTTCATGCAAGATAATTACTTCGGATACACTCTTCGGTAGCTTTCACACAGCGCTACAGTAGTGGGTGTAGCACCGGCCCCTCGTGTCACATGCTGGTGTGGGGGTTTTCCCTTTTTTTTCTAGCAACAGTGGCCACCCCCAGGGCCTAGTCAAGTCCAGCCCGGTTGATGTGTTACATCCCTGGAGACCCGTCGGGCAGGCTATGTACATGTACACACATAATTATAACAGTTACATCCCTGGGGACCCGTCAGTCAGTGCACAAAACAGCAGCACGGCTCATACACATACACCGTACCTGCCAGAAGACAAAGCTATCTTCCAGGATGCACCGCACGTCCTTGTGTCGCCACAGGTCCCGGTTGAGCTTCTGGCACTCGAAGACCTGTGGATCGTGGATATCGACGAGAATCCACTTGCCAGCTGCTGAGCCAGCTTCTCTAGCCTAAGACAGTAAAGTAGACATCATGGACAAACAACCAACGCAAAACATAGCAGGGTTACATGTAACAGAAAATTGCAGGGTAAAGAGCACAGGCTATTAAAACTAGTGGCAACGCATCCAAAGTGCATAACACTGTCGGGAAAATACAGTACATGTTCTGAAGGACACGCACGTGCGAGACATTTCTGCCGAGCAGAGGCCACACAACAATATCCTTGAAGAACAGGTACCAGCAGGGTAACTGCATTGTACCGTATACATGCGCACAAAAGGGCACGCACTTATCTTCGAATACAAGGGCACCTCCGCATATAAAGGCATGGAAAAAAACTCAAGATCCAAGAGTGTATTTCGAAGACTTGAATACTCGTATTGAAAGACATGCCCTTGTATCCGGAACATTTGTTTCCTGGCGAAATGAAAACCCCCCACATGTTTTCGCATATAAGGGCGTGCACCTGTATGTGAGTGAATACGGTATGAGCACAAGAAAGGGACTTACCGCCTCCAGTGAACCGCGGAACATGATATCAACCGGCGGCCGGAACAGATGTGACAGGTTACCAATCCCGCTATCGGTGCCGTTGCCTCTTGGTCCTACGCCATCAACGTTCAACACTGCGTGCAGCACACAATAACACCGTGCAGTCAACCTCATGAATAACGACCTCGGGTATAACAACAACTCGCGAATACCGACACAATCATCAGACTGTGTGACCAGTTCCGACTGCATACTCTCAATGTCGCGAATAACGACACTGTTCTCATGCATGATCAAGAGCCGCTACTAGTATTCACAAGGTTGACTGTACATACAAGTCAGCTCTTGTACAGTGCTGCTCAATGAAATCCAGTCGTGTAACTCAAGAACGTGCCGGGCGTTGTGCAGCCCCAGACCTGCGAACACTGGGCCAGGAAATGGTGCAAGGCGCAAACCTTGAGTGACATGACTGGATTTCATTGAGCAGCAGCACTTGTAGTTCCGGGTGTCTGCTGTGCCACAATACAAGCAATGCCCATTTTTTTCATGCTCCAACTGTTTAAATACACGCTGATCTGTCCAGGGCGACCAAGTGCCGTGTGCACCAGCGGCAGTGCTTCATGCACTGAGGCTGCTTGCCAACCTGTTGTGAGTCAAGTGATTACGAGTCTTCGGACCAAGGGCTTAGTTTCTAAGCAGTGTAGCACCGCAATTAGTTGCACGCAAGCCAGGCCCAACCAGACCAGCGAGGTGTGAAAATGCACTGGTTTACAAGCTCCATAGGCACCCAACCTCGTCATGAAATCCGTACGCAATACGAGCAGGTGTGTACATCTTGTCTGAGTCCTTGCTACTGTTGAATGATTTTCACCGAATCAGAATTCCACAAGTAATTCAAAGTACATTGTCTTTGGACACATCACCACTTCTGCTGCTGATACTTACATCCCTCTGCTTGGAAATCTCGCATGTGATTGAACGGGTTGTTGGCATTCACCCTCGTCCTGCGTCGAGCTACACGTCACCAAACAGAGAAAGATACAGCAGTAAAATCGTGAGGCCTGGTTTTCGAAATTTCAAAAAGCACACCACGAGCATAATAGTGATAACATGCTCGTTGAAAATCTAGTGAACTGCAACCAAACTCTCTCTCTCTCTCTCTCTCCATCGTCAAAAATAAGTATACTGCTCCACTACTAATCTTCCTCTATCTCACCAGGTAGAAGACCAGGATTGCCGACCAGCACTTCTCGTCTGGCTGGGATAGGAGCGCGGATCCTGAAAAGTAATAAGTAACACACACACACACACACACACACACACACACACACACACACACACACACACACACATGCACACACATGCACACACATGCACACACATGCACACACATGCACACACACACACATGTGCAAAACAACCCAAATCTTCACCATAGGTACGGTAGAATTAGGATACATTGGATGTCATTCTTTCTAACACTGCTGTTACCCAATGCTGTTAGATACAAGATAGGCTGTGCATACTTGTATAGTGCTGACTGTCTGCACAAGATCCATGTAGATGTTCGTGAGTACTCTTGGTACGGGGGCTCCTCTTCGGACTATTGATGTTTTAAATTAAAGTTATTCCGGGCTCATGCATTCAAATAGTACAGGCATACTGTGCATGTAGTGTTACATGAAAAACACACTGGGGTTCTCAAATCTTGGTGACTTTCTAGTCTGGATGTTCAATCTGCGGGCAGAACTGTTTCGTCCTTTGTGGACTCATCAGCGCAGCACAGAGAAATTGAGGTCGAACCTGATAGCAATGAAAAATAAATTTTCCAAAGCCAGATTTAAACCAGGCCTGGACGTGCCTTGCCAGAGTGCTCAAACTGACAAGTCAGTGAGCTCTGCCGAACGCAAATAGCAAAGGCACTACCCCATACTCTGGATGTTCTTCGGTTGCCAGTTCTTCGGCACCCAATGTTGCTGTATATCATGGTGTGACACCTTTCATGTGTCGGATCCAGCCTTCGGTATTAAAGACATGACAAAGAAGACTTGTCACTCCGCAGTGTGGGGCTTTGGGATTGAGAAAACGGTCAATGGTATTGCCACGTACACTCCGTGTATTCTGTGCAATCCAGCAAAAGATGTGGCTGACCGGGGTGGAACTACGAGCTTGCAAACCCACCTTAGACCCACTCACATGCTGATTTATAAAACGATATAGGTAAAGTGGCAGAGAATAATTCGAAACAAGAGGGGGTTAGCTGCCTGCTTCAAGACGACAGCATGCAGTGCAGTACATACAGACCGATCCTCTGGGCACCATGACTACCTGGTGGACCTTGTATGCAGAGATCCTCAACCCGTGAGTGCTGTTCCTGCATTAACTTTTTTATCACACTATGCCCGATTTAAAACGATATCAGCAAATAATTCATCCAGCTAGGGATCCTAGAGGGTGGTGGCGTTCCCACGGCGGATGCGGAAAACGTGGAAGCCGAGTCTCACGCGAACCGTGAATTTTTTTAAATTTTTTTAGGGATGTAAAGCTGGCGCCAAGGGTATATACGTGTTGTCATGTGGTGCTACACCTGATTCTAACAGAAGTGTTCATTGTACTAGTGCTTTATACGAAAGTTTCATTGTAGACGAGGTATGGATAGATAGATGGTTGGAAGAAAGCATAATATTATAAGGAAAGGAAGACAGCAAGCATCAGTGCCTACCCATCCTCGTCCAAATCAGCAGCCGGTTGTGTAGAAGCAGTTGCTTGAGCATGAGATCTGCCACTGCTGCTACTACTGCTGCTCGCTGACTGCGCGGAGCGTGAGGCAGTGCCATTGCTAGCACTGGGATCATTTCCACCTGAGTCCAATTGCAACTGAATAGCTAATTCCACGTTTCCATTGCATGCCTCCAGCATCAAGACTGCAGCATCGCGTTTAACTCCAGTCACTGCTATAAACTGTTTTATGTCCTTGGTGGACGGTTTGTATGATCCAGGCATTCTTTCAGCAAACAATTTGCACGGTGCACTGCTCAACAATGTTCAGACTCCAGTAGAAATGTAGAAAGAAACGTTCGTGCATCCCATAAGGGACTGTCAGCGTTCTGAATAGATAAATCCAATCAAACCTTCCACTTGCTTACTGCACAAACAAATCATAAGGCTTGCCGTCGGCTTCTACTAGTTCTAGACAATACTAATAGCTGTTCAAAAAAAACCATCCCTCCAGCGCTCTCAAACGAAGCAAATCGAAATCGAAATGTGACACTTGAATTGACTGATCACTACGAACTGAACGAACTGATTCACTGATTGATATCAGTGATTGACAGTGCACTACACTGTACACACAGTGGAGTTGCGTGGCACTGGTCATGTGGTTGTTCGAGTCGAGCATCGTGTAGTATGCACTGTGCAAGAGTTCATAACTCCCAGCATGCTATAATTATGCGCTAGCGCTAGCAGTCCTTTCCCAAACGACCAATATTGCAATCCCGATATACTACAGATTTCGAGGGTTTTTTTGCCGGGAAACGTTCTCAAGCTTGAGAAATTTCGAATTTGTCTAGTTTTGGGGTATGTATGAAATACTAGTACTAGTAGTAGGGTTATCGGCCTGGTCGAGCAGTGAAGGCTTCTTCCACATCCCTTGAATTATTTCATATGAAAGGTTATCAGTTTGGCAATGCCCTGCCGCCAGGAGAATGCAAACAACGCGATAGAGTGCGTCCCGGGTGGTAGGGATCATTTTTCTAAGTGCTGAAAATAGCCGACATCGATGCGAAAGTCGGCCTCAAAGTCGACATGGACATCTTGAACAGGTGAGATCTTTCAATATATCAATGGAGAACACCCTAAAGAATTATAGTGTTTCTAAGCTTCTAACCCTTGTGTGCTCAAGTGAAAATTGACCATATTTGGACGTGAATATATCACCACACAAAACCTGATACTGTACATGTAGTACACTGTACATTTATCATTCAATGGGTATACAGTATACAACCACCATACAAACACGAGCAGGAGAATGAATGGACAGGAGAAGAGTTGGTTACCCATTGCTGTTCAACAAAGAGAAGCACATACTAAAAGTTGAATAGGATTAAATTGGATTGTTTTAGCTGATCGCGGCCCACATAATAAATTTTATTATGATGACTGTGCATGTGATGCAGGGAGTCGAGTCGTCAAATACCATAGGGCTTGAAAGTGCTACGTCACAGCATAGCAACAATTTCAAAAATTCAAAAACTGGATCCACTTGGATCCAGTTTTTGTATGGATCCAATCGTGACATTTCAAGCGGTCTTACCCACAGCATGGTGATGTAGCCAGTGAAACTGACTGATTTGGCTACTGGGGCGGGGTTACAACTGGTGGCGAAATAAAAGTCACACCTGCATGCGACATGAGTGGGTTGCTATGCACCCACATACTTAGGCAATAGCAAAGTCACACCTTAGTGGATCCAAAAATAGAAATCTGATGTCAACTTACTACTCCCTGGCCATTTTGACGTCATCACTTTCAAGCCCTATTACAGTGGCGGATCCAGGGGGGGTTCCGGGGGTTCCATGGAACCCCCTAAATTTTGCAAAGTGTGCGGCTGAGAATCGTAAATTCCGCTAGGACCCTAAAGGTCTGACGTGGAATTAAGGTTGCATAAGGAGGTGAGGCTGAGAATGTGACAGTGTGTTAGGCCCAAAATCGCTCCGTTTTCATATAATTCATAGCGTTTTAAAGACAAACACATTCCACCTCGTTTCCCGCCAAAACCAACCCTTCCCAGAATCTCTTTGGCCTTTCTGAGCCGTTTCTTGAATGGATTACTGTGACAGTGTTCTGGGGTATCACTGCACTGGGAGGGTGGGACACTGTCACATTCTCAGCCTCACCTCCTTATGCAACCTTAATTCCACGTCAGACCTTTAGGGTCCTAGCGGAATTTACGATTGCATTTCGGAGGCTCGGCCTTCGAATGTGACAGTGTGATTTTCAAAGACAAGGCTGAGACCAAATCCCAATACTTGCTCAAACATGTATTCTCCACAGTGATAGAGCTGGAAACTTGAAGCAATAGTATAGCATAACAACCGTTGAACGTCATCCAGTGCAAACATGGACAACAGCACTCACTCCTCAGGGTAAATAGCCTGACAAGAGAAAACCTCCACACAGTTTACGGCACCCTAAGTGATGCACAGACAGTGACACTCATCCAGACTACATATACATTGTACATGAATGCAATGTTCGGATATTCCCACAAATACTCAATACTGCAGTTGGGTTACTACCACGGATTGCACTATCAGTAGGTGAAACATAGGCACCCTCAGTCCGGAGAGGCAGCAGCTGAGTAGGGACAATGGAAGGATGATTATGAATGGCTGAGCTATTGAGCACATCTTGTGACCATTATAGTGGGATACAAATGTATCAGGCTGGCTCCAATTGGTTGCCAGCTAGGCATCTGACATACAGATGACAGCCTGGAAAGCGGCTGCAGCTGAGGCGCCGCGAGTAGGTGTAATGAGCCTGGAAGGAGGGATCAATTCCCAAACAGAGACAAGATACCCTTCAGCCACTGTGCCAGAGTGGATGAGCCCACTGGTATGTGAGGCGCTGGGATTGCCAAGCCAGTGGTAGAATGCTGATTGCTCTGGTTTCAATCGAAACTTGGCTGTGCGGGCTCTAAATTCTCGAGCATAATCAACTACATTTGTAGGCTAGCCAGACTACCTAGTACTAGTAGTAGCTTGGGAACGAAGAATGAGTTTGGACTTCCGGACCTCTGAGACTTTGTCGGCGAGGTAAGCTGAAACATCAAGTAGCACCTGCATTTAGTTGATATCCAATGAGGTCAGCTCAAATGATCGAGCTGACTTTGCAAACGCAAGTAGCATAATGCTAGCATTACACACTAAGTCTTCCTGGACAGAAGGGGCACCCGAAGTTGAGCTTTTAGACCCAGAGCACTACTCTTATCCTACATCATCTTCACGTCCCATGTGTTACCACACTATGGCTGTGGTGGTCGCTAGTGGTGATAGATACCACGCAGGACACAGCACCCATGCAAGTCTTGGCTAGGGGGGAAACCGGATGGGTTAGGCAAGGGGGACGGCAGAGCTGACCGACACATGTTGATAGTGCGGTACTGCTTACCTTCGGAAACCTGATCAGCTAAGAAGTTAGCTAGTGAGGCAGCCATGTGATCTTCCGACCGTGCACCCAATCAGCTGTTCTATAATCGGAAGGCTGACTCGTATGAGACAGTAGGTCCGTCGCGCCTCCGTGTGGAGGCGTCTGCTGAAAGTCCCAGCTGAGCTGTAGTATGCCTGAGATGGTCCAAATGGCTAGTCGGAGGCCCTGCAGTGGATGTAGATTCTTCCCATGGATCAAGGAGCATAGGGTCGTGCTGTGGCAGCTGCCAAGAGCACTAGATCAACATCTGCAGCGAAGGGATAGAACCCTTGTACCAGCTAAACTAGAGCTACTAGAATTGCTCGCTGGATCCGATGTTCTCGGATGCAGCGTAGACACGCGTCCACCAAAGCAAATGGTGGAAACAGGTAGCCGTTCCGCCACATGGCCGGCGGTGCCGTCAGGGCATCGGACCACTCTGCCACTTGGTCTTGGCCGTGGCTAGCTGATGTACACCGGCAGCTGGCAATTGTGCCGCGTCACGAACAGATCTCGGACAATTGGATGGCAACTCTCCCTGGTCAGCTGAACCAGCCCTGTATAATTGGATTGAGCTGCCAATCGCCGCTCTCTTCAATGTTCCATGATAGAAAACCGGCCTCAGTGTTCAGGCGACCGGCACATGGAGGGCTTTGAGGTGTAGCACGCGCTGCTCGACTCAGGCCCAAATGTCCTTGGCTAGTTGGCATAGCTGATGAGAATATGAGTCTCGTATGTCCCGCCTTGGTGATCAACATAATTATGCAACTGCTGTTGTGTTGTCCATCTCTAGCACAGCAATACTGTTATCAGTGACTGGCAAGAGCAAACGTCTGCAGGCCCAGGAAAACAGCTTGAAGATCCTTCCAGTTGATGCGGAAGTAAGTAGTTGTCCAGATGTGTCCATGGCCCTCCCGTGGCCCGGTTCTGGCACACTGCGCCCCGACCGTAGTCGGATGCATCCGATATGATTAGAACTGGCGGGGCTGGCACTACTGCCATGGCATTGTGTGCTGCCGACTGGTGTGACCACCACTGCAAGGAAGCCGTCCTGAGGCTCGAGCGTCAGACATATTCTTGTCCAAGGCCGCTCCAGAGCCCGGTGTAACTGGAATTGGAGATTCCGAAATCAAAGCAACGCTACAAGTAGGCAAATATTAATTGCTATCCGGGATGCTACCATCCTGCCAATGAGGCTTCGCAGCTCTCAACAGCAAGCTTCACCACACCTAGGCTATAAAGTAAGACCCGTACCCATGGCATGGGGCACAGCAGATCTCTTTCCCAGTTAGCTAGGAACGGGTATTGTACATAACATAAGCGATCCACCGCAAACATGTCCATACTAATAATAATAATGCACTCCACAGCTTGGCGTAGTGACAAAGGAGTCTGCGGGGTCTTGGTGCGTATGTCGGGCCAGAGCTGGACTGCCCCTGAGAGCCTTCTCGCCAGGCTGTCCGATACACCGGGGAGTGTTTCCACTTCTGTGCTGATGACCACTGGGGATGCCACGACCGATTGGTCTGGTATGGGGCCCCGGTCGGTAGCCTCCGAATGGCAAGGGGCCCCTGCGCCAAAAGGGGCGACCGGCCGCTAAACGGGCAGGTGTCACAGCAGAACGGAGGGGACTGTGGAATGCCGCATAGTTTGAAGGCGGGATTAGTGGTGACGCTGTACTCGCAATGGGTGCGATGCATCCACCAGGGCATTGCCTGATTTGACCTTTTTCATGGCCTTGGCGGAAAACATTTTGCCACTGAGATTTCCAGTCTCCGACAGCTCTTAGCTAAGACAGTAAGACCTTGTGCTTGGCTTCTATCAACCAGTTCCGCCTCATTTTGGATAAGGACGCATTGGCATACACAGCACCCAACCACATCATCAGCCCTTGGCATCAGTAACGTGTCTGTACTGTGTGCGGGGTCTCGCATGTGCCTCCGCTATTATTGTTGCATAGCAGCTACACCTTACGCAGTTATCTGGTTATGGCTGGGTCGGGCAAAGTACGTGGACTGTTTTGTCAACATACATGTAAGTATCCTGCATCATGGCAGGAGCCTCAATCGAACACGATCATAATTA